CGACAGGATTGATCCCATATTTCTTGAATAACATCATTAACATGGCCGCGAAAAGGAGTCCCGTTTCAGGGATGCAAAAGTTTTGAAACGGGCGATAATGCAGGTCAACGAGTGTAGGGTGGTTGCTATCCGCAAAAAGGAAAGCGTCCGCAGGACCCATGCGCAGACAGGGATCGAACATCGAACCCAATAATTAAAGGGGCTTGCGGTTGGCGTCAAGGCAAGCTTACTCCTCGCTTCTTAAAGATTCTGGATTCTTTCAGACCTAACTGAACGGATAGCCGCCGAGAATTGCCATGTAAAAAAGGGGATGGCCTACCCAACTAGATGGTCTATGCCTCCAAGTCGCATTATCCCCACTTGTTGACAGACATGCTCCCCCCTAGCAATTGCATCCAAGAGTCCAAACTTTTCTACTGTGCCGATTGCCCGGCCCCGAAGTTCGGGAAAGTCATCCTGTTTTACTATGTCTTCACCGAGCTGTCCATATTAATTCTCGATGGCCCCTCCTAGAACATTGTAGTCCGGAAACGAATGAAGATTTATCGATGACGCGACATGTCTTTTTTCTGCCCAGTCGTCAAATTGAATTTTCATATATCTTAGCCGACGTCGCTTAGAACAGCGTTCCTTCGCTGCGCCCACTTACCGACCTACCCGGGAGCCAGATACCGCTTACCTAAGGTAAGAAAAAAACACGAGCCCCTGAACGATCATGGCCCATCTGCAAATCCTTTTCCGCCGATTGTCGGATTCGGTAAACTGGGTTCTTAGGTGAAGGTCCGAAATACGAAGGAATACCATGACTTTGCCTGTGGGAGGGTGTCATCGAAGTCACGTCCACCGCTTTCTCAAAATACATCTCCAATGCTGTCCGAGAGTGCCGAGCTCATCAACATCAGCTTCGTGGTGTCAAAATCAAACGCGGGCTAGATCGTTTGTATCTCTGATACAGCCAGTGGTTGATTCACAATTTAAGATTTGGGGATTCAGCCTTTGTGATGTTGATCTTAAGAACAACTGGGGAATAGCAGACATTTTAGTCCTGACGGGTCTGCTGCTCACTGCATGACTTGAGATCTCCGGTGGGTGGACCACGTTGTAAATGTGAGCCTCTGCTAAGCCATCCCTGTTGATACGAGCCAGGGGTTAGAGTTGCTGATAAGGTTGCCAACTTCTCAGATAGAGGGCTGTTAGTGGGAAACAGTCGCAGTACAGACACAACGCATTCAAAATGTTCAAGCGTGGGATACCGCTCGGAGTACCATGATCTGGATGAACAATAAGCTTGATATTTGAGTGTGTGCGACCAACAGGAGGTGCAGAAGTCATAGATCGTGGTGGAAAATAGAAGAGTCCCCGGCTATTGTTGCTGGGAATTTACGAATGGGCTGATCTCCCGGACTGTTCTCATCGTCGCATCGGACGAAAAAGCGGATAACAATGGAATAACACAGACGCTAGTGATCTTGAGTGTGGTCCATGTCCAATCAACTTTTGGAAACTAATCCATGGCAGGCATCGTGCGGCTCTGCCAAGTTAATTCACTTTGGACAAAACGGGATGCCCCACGAACGTGGTTCCCTTTTCGGCTGCATGCCGCTGCCAAAGGCGATGGCGTGAAACTTGGTCGGAAATTTAGAAGGGGCTTGATTACGTCGGGTATCCCTTTCTGGACGACAAGGCACAGCAATGGGCCATGGTCCAGTATTGAGAGTTGAGCTGAGAATACTTTATAAGAAGTTGGAAGGGCATTCGTCTCATGATGGCTTACTGTTCGGTCATTCTCTTGCTCTCCAACGTTTCGTTCCTTGTCGCATTCCCTCCTTATTTCCCTACCTTTTACTCACTTTTTTAAACTTCTTCGTTCGTTTTACAGACACAGGATGTCTTCCCTTCTTTTCGCTACCGGCCTCCTCGCCGGCCTGGCCCAGGCCTACACCCAGGTCAACGTTGCCTCCCCTTTCATGACCAAGAACATCGATCCCATTGTCTACCCCGGCCAGTACGACAAGTCTCACTTGCACTCCTTCTTCGGCTCCGACGCCGTCACCATCAACACCAAGACCAGCGCCGAACTCCAAAAGGGCTGCACCAACGCCGAGAACCCCAACGACTTATCCGTCTACTGGATCCCCACGCCGCTCTACACCACCGACGGCGGCAAGACCTATGAGCCTATGCCTCTCTCGCGCTTCAGTGCCTACTACAACCTCGGCGAGACTGAGGCCGAGGTCGCTATCCCCCAGAACCTCCAGATGGTTGCCGGCAAGGCCACCGCCACCACCGAGGGCGACATGATCGCCGACGCCCAGTCCTCGTGGGCCTGCGAGAACGGCGGCGGCGGCAGCACCGACGCCAACGGTTTCCCCTCCTCCACCTGCGGCACCCACCTCCAGCAGCTCCTCTACTTCCCTCAGTGCGTCAACACCGAGACCCTCGAGACCGCCTACAAGACCAAGCGCGGTGGCAGCTGCCCCTCCGGCATGAAGTCTATGCCTCAGCTCCGATTCTCCATCCGCTACGACCTCCGCAAGGTTCTGCCCAACGGCTGGAGCGGCACCGCGCCCTTCAAGCTCGCCTGCGGCCCCGCCTGGTGCTCCCACGGCGACTTCATCAACGGCTGGACCACTGAGGCTGCCACCAACATGCTCGCCACCACCAAGGAGAAGCAGAAGTTCTCTTCCGTCGACGGCGCCCTCGGCACCTACAACTCTGGCCCTACCTGTAAGGCCACCGACGCTGACCCCTCCCACGGCACCGGCGACTACGCCGAGAGCGTTGCCGCCATGAGCAAGCGTGACGTTGAGTCCTGGGGTTGGTCCACCAAGTCGCGTTTCGTTCGCGCATAAATCAAAAACATCACAGCATTTGTGGAGTTGAGCAGCGGCGTTGTTGTACATAGACCACGTGTCGAACACTTCTTTGTATCATACTACCTACTTTAGAGGAACGAACATACTAGGCTCGTTGAGCCAGCTGGAGAGCGCAGTAGAGGCTTGATTGCGCTACTTGTACCGGTATACAAAAAAATCCAATTTTTGACCATTACGTTGTACACCATACTTGTGACACGCTTGCAGAGTTAAGCTTTTCTCAAAGTCTATCGAAAACAAGTAGATGAATAAGAAATGCTGGTATCGGCAATTATCGACTCTCCGAGCGGCATGGCCACACGATGACCATGACGCAAGGTGCTAAAGCTGCAACTCGGTTGCAAAACCTGATGAAAGCCTATGGGCTGTGAAAAGACTTTTCATAGGGGCCTCCCTTACTCTTTCTATAGGACGTGCGCTATGATCAGCGACCCCAATAAGATCTACTATGCTTAAGTCTGAGGTAAAGCAAGCGGCAGGCCATCAATGCCGTACAGCGGGGACCCGCTGTCGTCTGATCTAAACGACCTGGCAGCCCGCCGGGTTGTTTCAGGACTAAAATTGCTGGTACATCTAAGCGATGGTCAAGGAAACGATGTTAAGGCCAATGAGAAAAGAGAGGATCCGGGCAATTCTTTTCTTTGTCGAAGGTATTTATTTGACTACACTTGACACTTCAGCTACTCTCATGGAACTCCATGCCTTCAGAGCCTCTCCTCCGCCCCTGAAAGATATGATGACTGTCCCCCTCCGCCTTAGCTAATGTTATGATGCCGGGTCTTGAGATTTGTTCTCATTCTGAGCTGCCGTCATCCGAGAAAGTCCAAGTATTCTTCATAGACATTACTCGTCGGTCAAGTCAGACTTGCTGCCTACTGGATCTTGGGCCATCCGTCTACTCAACTCTTTCAACATACGGCCAAATGGCCTTGAAAACTACCATCAAAAGTTGAGTGGAGCCTGAAACTACTCCAACGACAGTGACCGAGTCCCAGAATGGCACATTGCGCACAAATCCAGACTGGTTTTTGGAGAGTAGGTTGTTTCTCATCAGGATCTTACATGCCAGGTTAGTTCTCAGAAGATGGAGTAAATGCGTGGTCCATCTAGGACTAAATTGATGCTTGAGCAACCACAACGGCCCGGATCCAATCCGTAACTTGGAGGATGTAGATCACAGTATTCCAACGCAGGAGTTGCATTCTCCCATGCCTAGTGTTTGTATGTTTGTCTGCTCAACTGTTAAATTGTTTGAATGTTTGTTCATTCAATAGTTCCCTGGTCAGTCGGTTTGCTTTTTTGATTACGTCGCCAGTAAGATCAAATCGCAACCTTCCAGCCAACCACGGCGATCCACGCACGGGAAATCCGGTCAGGATATGAAGTTAAATTGCGCCACGCGAGATTTTGTTCAAAAACCAAGTTCAAACGTCTTCAAAGACTCTTGGCAACCGTGCTATCGTTTAAAGCCTGCTCCGTTGGATGGTTGACAACGCGGACCAACGGCGCAACACATGTTGTTCCGCCCACGTGACCAACTGCCGCCCACATTATGCGATAATTTGCGCCGGATGGAATCTATCCGAGATGAACGATTTAGAGCTTTAGCCGCTGGTTATGGTACGATTGCTGATGTTTGCTCTTTGCCAAACCCCTGGGACTCGACCATTGACCCCGGCAGAGGTGCGTGCCGGAGCTACTCCAACCCGCGCCACGCGAATGCAACCCCAGACCGGAACCATCAGCACCAGCCCTAAATCGTTAGTCTCGTTGAGGACTGCTGCGTTGGACGCGGGCGAAATGTGTTAAGCTTCAATGGCCACACCAATCATCGACGCGGTTATGGAACCGTTGACGTCCTTCTGTCGCTCGCGTGCTTGGCGGAGTCCATTGGAATGTTTGTTGACCACGCGCTACTTCGCTAATCTCAGACACAACGACTTTGCTTTCCAGTGAGCCATAAAGATGGAGAATGACCTCGTGGCAATGGAAAAGTTTCGTTTCCCAGTGTGCAAGAATATCAGACCGCGTTTGGACAAATACGCCTATCCGTAATCCTAGGTTTATCAAGGGCATCTTTTGGAGATGAAAACCTCACTCGCCGGACCGGCGTCTATTGCTGCGATGCAGCTAGGCGTTATGGCCGATCTTTTTAACTTGCACCTGAGATCTGGCGATGCAGTATGTACGCTTTTCAGAAATCTAGCAAGGGAAAACCAAGCTAATGTGACATAATTTTCAGTGCATGGTTCTCTCCGATCGATTACCAGGAAAGGTGTCATATCCCAATTCGACGCAGTACGCCATTTCGAACAACTACTGGTCAGCACCACAAGCTGAGGTTCATCCATCATGCTTCGTAATGCCTGGAAGCACAGGAGATGTTTCCGAGATTATCAAGACTCTCACTTCTCTCGGAGCACAGTTCACAGTCAAGAGCGGCGGTCACACGGCGTTCGCAGGAGGGTCGAATATCGAAGACGGTGTCACCATCGACCTCGCACGCATCAACAAGGTGACTGTGTCAGATGACCGTCAGACCGTGTCTATTGGACCCGGGAACCGCTGGTACAACGTCTCACAAGTGCTCGATCCATTGGGCCTCGCCGTTGTCGGGGGCAGGGTGAACGATGTCGGCGTCAGCGGGCTTATCCTAGGAGGCGGTATCTCCTTCTTCTCGGGCGAGTATGGATGGGCTTGCGACAACGTGCGTAATTTCGAAGTCGTCCTGGCGTCCGGTGAGATTGTTGACGCCTCCCCGTCTGAGAACCCCGACTTATACTGGGCACTTCGTGGGGGTGGAGGCTCTAACTTTGGCGTCGTGACCCGGTTCGACCTCGTCGCGTTTGAACAGGGAGATGTGTGGCTTTACAACCCCATATACACTCTAGCTTCGAGTTCAGATCTCGTGCCCGCATTCGTCGACCTGATTGTTGATGGTCTACCATCAGACCACGATGCACACACGTTCTTCGTGATTGCGAACTTTCCAGGCTATGGCGACATCATTGCGAACTACATGTACCACAGTAAACCTCCGGTGGTTGCAGAAGATGTGCCACCCGTCTTCGCTGACGCGATAGCCGTTCCCGGTGCTGTTTCAACAACGACACTGGTGGCCAACATCTCTACTCATATGATCAACCTTTCAGAACCCTATGGTATGCGCAAGTCGTGGTCAGGTACTTCTGTCTACCTCAAAAAGGCCTCGGCACAGTTCCTTCAGGACATTATCCCGTTGTGGCAGGCTCATGCTCAGGATCTCATGGCTGCCGCCGGCGAAACAAACACAACTCTGTCACCTCTGCTCGTATATCAGCCGATCTCAATCAACATCATCGAGTCGATGCAGAAGAATGGCGGCAATGCCCTCGGGCTCGCGCCTGAAGATGGCCCGCTCGTTCATATCCAGGTCACCACGCACTGGGAGACGTCTAAGTTGGATTGCCTTGTGGAGGAAAGTGTCACGAAGCTGATTGATGAGATTGATGCTCTGGCAGAGGAGAGAGGTCTTGCAGCAAAGTACATTTACATGAACTACGCGGGCAAACATCAGGATGTCTATGGAGGCTATGGATCCGAGAACCACGACCGTTTGAAAAAGGTTTCCGATAACTACGACCCGGAGAGGTTTTTAGAAAGGCTATGGAGGGGATATTTCAAGGCATGAAGACTTGTCGGTTCTTGGAGTTTCCAGACCTTGTGCCTAATTGGCGATGTCAATCTTCAATCACCTTGCACATAACCTCATCCATGTACATCATACCTCGATACGATCAACGTGTATCAACAATGCTAATTATACTTGCAAAATCTGCTTCCTCCAAAGCCACAATGTTAGAAAGTCAACTCTTGATTGTCATACTGTTTCATATTACGTTGTAGACTAATCTTAATCGGCCTGCGATTAGAATGGCTGGTGTTTGGTTGGATAAAGAATTCCCATCTCGCGACCATCCATATCAATTGTGCTGACCTACAATCTACTTGGCTTACGCTACTAAAGTTATCTGTTCACAGGTCATTGATTCGTATCGCATTTAACTTACATTCGAAAAATCAACTGATACACAAACCGAGTGCATGCCTCAATCTCAATTGAGCTCGGGCTTGACGCCAAGATTGATTGGGGGGATGGTTCGAAACTTCCGCTCAAGCTTCCTGAATCTGATGATAGGTTCACTTTGATATACCCCGAGACAGGATGGATTGAAGCTGAGCAGTGAAGATATGCCCAGACTGATTGCTTGTGTTTAATTATTATTCCGATTATGAGAGCTTTCGCTCTCTAAACACTGTTCCATGTGGTCTGCGACATCACGGCAATGTGGGAAGGCGCCATTGGCTGCTCTATTGTCTCCAAATCGTTACAGTCTGAAACGGTGAATCACAAGTAGGCCACAAATACTGGATTATAGATCCAAAGTTAACGGTCAGTACAGCCATCCAGGTTCACACTCGTATGAACGATGTGGTCTGTTCTTCTTTGTAAGACTTCAACGGGTAATATCGCGAAATTATTCGTTGCGAGAACATCGGCATTTCGCAAGGGAAACCTAGTTCAACATCATTGGTTGCGCCTTGGCAAACTTATGAGGCAATTATTAGTCAGCTTTTGTCCTGCGATTCGAGGTCAAGCGAATAGTCTGTGGGGCACGCCGAGATAATGAAGGCGCCGATCTCGCTATATCTAATCAATCTCTCAAACTTAATCACCTATTAAGCACTGTGTTTAAATATCAATAGAAGGCCTATCTATTCGTAAATCTCTTTGATCCGTATTCATGTCCTTTCTTAAGTTGTCCTACACGTAAACACCCCATCGTCAAATCGCCCACCACGGATTGCCTCGGGCAAACCCGCCGATCACCACTTTGGCCTCAATTCATTCGACTAGCCCCGATAAGCCGACAAGATCAGCTCACCCAGAAAAACATCATGGATATCCAAATTTCGCTAGCGACGATAGACGACATCCCAGAAATTCTGGAACTCACCCAGAAAGCACGCGTGGACATGTACCCGCATCTGGATGAGCAGTGGCGTGCCATGAAGGCTGAGCAAGATCTCGCAACGTTCCAGAAGATATTTTTCGATCACCCAGATGGCGCCTTTATCGTCGCGCGATCAGAAAACCGAATCATAGCGACGGTTGGATATCAACACTACGATTACCGGTTTTCTCATCTCACTCTACTGCCCGATGGCGTTGTTGAAGTTGTGAGGCTTTTCGTGGTCCCAACTTGGCGGCGCGGCGGATTGGCATCCCGATTAGTTTCGGCTTTGGAGAAGGCAGCGAGAGAAGCGGGCCTGAAACAGTTGTATCTTCATACTCATCCGTTCCTGCCGGGAGCGATCAAGTTCTGGGAACGGCAGGGATTCGTCGTTTTAGATATTGATCGAGACGATGCTGTGTGGCAGACGACGCATATGAGCCGTAACCTTGACTGATGATAGAAATCACAAGCAATAACGGAAGAGCCAAGGTTGCCGAAGACGAGTTCAACTCAACGATGGGAGTTTTGCTTGTGGATCTGGAAACCTCGATCCACGTACTGCGGCCATAAGATGTGGACTGGAAGGGTTGATAGTGACTTAATTGGGCCAGCTGAGCTGTTGATGCTTGTAGTAGCTATTGGTGTACGAGAAAGTAATTGGATTGAGCAATCCCTTGATATTGTCTTTATAAATTTATTGCATACAAAAATGGAAGTTCTGACTGCAATCTTTCGACATCCCATCTGATCTCCAAATTATTCTTTTGTTCAACGTTGAACCCAACAGCTGATAAAATCGTCTAATCACAACATGACGTACGATTGACTTGGTGACATGTAGTTTCCGTGGGGCAGCAATAGAACCATGGTTCTGTCTTTGGCTGGCCGGGGAATGGCAACTGCCCACACCTGTGTCCATAAAGATGCATGAGAAAGCTTAGTTGAGTTGTCGACAGGGATTGATAGAGGTTACCTCGTGTTGGTTGTGACTTCTGAACCCTGGCTACAGAACAATCACAGCGGGTCTGCATTGAGGCCATTTTGACTCCGCAAAGCTAGCAGAATTACCATTATCTTATCATTCCCTTCATTTCATTGCCTATCACATGTCCCTCCTCTCAACAGAAACATTTCATTCACGATAAAGATGTCGTCTTCCTCTCAATACCTAGAGGGGAAGAATAATCATCAAGAAGATGAAAACACCCTTCTACGTTACCAAGCTCACGTTCAACCACCTCCGGGCGACGACCACGTGCAAGCACTCCGCGGTACGAGGCTGCCGGCCACTTTCGACAAAACATGGATGTCGACATGCGTAATTCATGGCATCCGCCACAACGAGGCGTTTGCCATGTCAGAGCCAGTCCGCAAGCTCTGCTTGGATTCAGATGATAGGTCGTTCGCCCGTGCCCGCAACGCCCGACTGATCATGAGTAACATCATCCCGAACATGACGTCCGATGATGAGAAGCCTTATTGTATTTGGTACCCAGACATTGCTAGCGAGGATACCTACCGAGCATTGTCGACGCACTACCCCGATTTGCGATATCTTGTTGGGCGGGCCTGTGCAGTCGCCGGGTACGACGATCTATACAGCGAGCTTGGTCTTCTCCCCGAAGTCTCTGTTGCCGAGGAAGCTAGGGACAACATCTCGAAAAAAGGATCCAAGATCATATTTAACAATATCATGCGCCAACCTGTCTGTTACGCCATTCTCAGCGACTACACCCGTTCAAGCAACTCAAAGAACCCGTTGTCACCTGCCTTCATGAACGGCGATACGGCAGTCCGGTCCTCCTTGGACGTTCGAGTTGGGCTGAAAGATTACAAGGACTGGGGAAACCATTACTTCAACATCACTGAGGACTTCAACATTGATGAGTCTTCATCAAAGACAACCAACGTTGAGGAACTGGCTCCCGAGCACATCGCGCTCTTTTACACCCCCATTTTCTCGCACTTACCGACTACCAATAAGGACGCCTTGATCCTCATGGCTGCATATGAGGGCAACATAGAGCGCTATGTACGCCTCCGCCGGCCGAGGATGCTTCACGACGAAGAAGCGGCCGTCATCCGCGGCATCTACCACAACACCACCTTTGCCAAGTGGTGGTCTCTCCAGAAAATAGAATATGGCGACTATGCAATCAAGACAGCCATCCTCGCCCGATTCATCATGGTCAACGATTTGTCACATATCGCGCCCTACAACTCGGCTGAAGCCGCTATGCCACATCTGATATGGTGGCCATTGCTCCCTGCCGAGGTGACATTGAGAGAACTGGTCCGCCGTCGGCCTGATATGCATTTGCAAGTCGCTATGACGTGCATCGCGGGCGACTACAGAGACCTCTGGGACGAACTTGCGCCAAAGCCATGCTTAGAGCTCCTGAACCAGGCAACACAGAAGGAGGAACGAAGTCCAAGGTTTCCGCAAAGCCCGAGATACCCAGACAGCCCCAACCGAAACTATTACGTTGAATACCTCGAGAAGAGAGCCAGGGATCTGGGTATGAAGCCCATTGATCTACCGCGGACATGTTCTGAATGCGAGGATGCGGCGGTCCGCGATAAAGAGCCTACGACAACCTTTCTTGACCCTTGGATAATTGCTCGTAGGTACGCGATAGTGGACTCTAATCCTGACGAGTGCTACTACTGGGGCGTGGGGGAACAGCCCAATGCCACCAGTTGGGAGCTGTGTATTTGCTCGAGTGAAGAGATGAGGCAGGAGGCAAGAGATGAGGAGGGTCTAGTATTGTATCAATAGAAATTCGGTATCCCCAACGCCTCTTCTCGGCATTACGTCCGTCCACTACAGTAATTCGGACGAAACCTGTGACCGTCTCTCGATAAATGTGACAATGATGCGGCATTCTGTCACTTCATCATTGAACATAATATCTGTTCTCAACTCCACTCCCTTCCCCACTGGCATCCTCAGTGACTGCTTCAGCATCCTCATTGACACCATCCTCGGCACTATCCTCAACGACATCTTCAGGACCATCCTCAGCACCATTCTCAACACCATCCCCGGTAGCGCTGGCATCATCTTCATTACTGTCTCTAGCATGCCCTCGACTATGAAAACTGGACCACGCCTCGACAGTGTCAAAGGTCTTCGGCGGAGCTCGAGACATATCATCAGAACGGCTCTCTTTTTCCGCGTTAATCAGCTCACGAGCACTCTCGTCGCCTTCATCTGCGGCTCTCTTCAAGCGACGCAAGATTGCGCCCGCTCTCGCTGCGAGAAGGTGAACACACTCGGTTTCGCCCAGCTGAGCTGCTATGTCTAGAGCCGTCTGCCCGAAGGAGTTCTCGATCAAGACATCTGCCCCATGCTCCAGCAAACTTTTGACTGCTTCCGAATCTCCGATCATCGCAGCTTCCATAAGTGCTGTACTGTCTTCTGCGTCAATGATGTCGACAGGAGCTCCGTGTTCGATGATCTTGTCGAATGCGGCAACAGGGAGGTGCAGGGCGGCGTAATGGATCGGTGTCTTGTTCTGCGGCCCTCCAGAGACCTCCAAGTCCAGGTTCTCGCATTGCAACAAGCGTTCGAGCAAGTCCATGTTTCCCTGGAAGATTGCTGAAAAGATTGGCCTATCGTTCTCTCCGCCACCAATATCAGGATTAGCTCCCTTCTCTAACAAGAAGCAGACAATATCGAGATTTCCCTAGTCGCAAGCGGCTTGCAGTGCCGTACAGGGTACGCGCCGCTCACTGGCGAGGTTGACATTCGCGCCATGTTTCACAAGTAATTCGACCATTGGCAAATGTCCTTGCGTTGCTGCTGCTTGGAGAGCATAGCCTTCTGGGGCGTTCACATCAGCCTCATGTCCCAACAGAATCTCGGCGATTGACACAGTGCCGTCGTAAGCACTGGCAGTCAAGGCATTTCCAAATCTATTTTGTATCCAGTCAGCAACGAATGGAAGCATTACGATGGTAAGGTACTGGGCAGGCAATGTAGAGCAACCTACTCTGATCCGAGTGCGTTGCAACTCGCTCCGAATTTGATTAACTGCTCAACCGTCTCCTTTTTCTCGAGGTCAGTCGCGATATAGAGGCAGTCATCCAAGATTTCTTGCCCTATAGAGCCATCCGCATGCTCCCAACAAAGCTCAAGAACATCTTCCAAGTATTCTTTATCTTTCGAAGCGGCTCTGAAAGGGATCTCGCAGTCCAAACCTGTGGACTTCTTTAGTATGAGACGGATCACATCCCAATTCTGCTCTTTTGTGGCTATCTCTAAGGAAGCCTTGAAGATGTGTGATTCGTGTTCGTAACCCAGAAGCTTCTCCACAATCTCGATTCTGCCAGAATGAGATGCCATTATGAGGGCTTTGCTGTGTTCATTAGGGGTTAGATTATCTGCTGCAGCTTCAAGGATGGCATTGAACATGGAAATGTCCGATATGAGGGCTGCCAGAGCTAGCGGTGACATCCACGACGGCTCCTCAGAGGTCGTGTTATTCTCATCGCTAGACTCGCTTTGATCGGGATTTTCTCCCGCCCATCCTTAAAACTCAATCTGGCACCTAATTTGATAAGCTCAGTCACCGCGGCACTATTATCAGAGGAGATTGCTGCGTTGACAACAGGCCCGATGTTAGCTGAGCATGTATCCCTGTTCGCGTCCCTGGCTATCAACTTTGACATAGCCCGAACGCTCCCCGAGTAAATAAGCGGCCATAGCGAGCGGGGTGTCGTTTCTTCGTTCTGGTCCCGACTCATCGACTTCGGCTCCTGCGTCAAGCAGCTGATCAATGATTTCGGTCTTGCCAAAACTAGCGGCCAGGTGAAGCTAAGCAATGTTAACCTTGATGCTGATCACAAGCATCTCCATCATGGCCAAATTAAGTCGGAAATACTCACCGGCTGGTTCCTCAGCGAGTCATACTTGGTTTTATCTTCTTTGTGCCCGGCTTCCAATAGAGATTCAACCAATAGTGGATAGCCGAGTGTTGCTGCAACATGTAGGGCGTTGAGATCCTTTGCAGAGATGTCACGCGACGTGAATGCTTTAGTCAACCGCTCGTACTCATTCAACCATCGAATCATGACTGAGGATCCCGCCTCCCAGAACGCAGTTTCTCGAGAGAGACGACGGGTGACATCGGTAGTTGCTTGGCCTGCGTGCTCGAGCCAAAAGCTTGTAGCGTAAGGAAGCGCCAAGAATTCCCCTTGCTCTTCTGTTTGAGCCGTGTCTGAGTCAAAGGGACTACTTGAACTGTCACGACGTATGTTCTCCGCTTCCGAGGTCTCCATAATGACGGAACCCGCTGTCTTCGTGGGTTGAACCTCCTGTGACTCCTGATATTGAGATATTGGCATTGCCGGTCTGTTATTCGACATCAGGCCTTCTGGCGAGCACGAGAGGCGCTCTGAGACCTTAATTAAGCATCTCAGAGCAAGAAAGCCATGTTGGATGTCGTGCTCATCTTTCGACAGGTCCAATAAGTTGTCTGAATTGTTCAAGAGATGGTTCTTCACATCAATATTGACAAACCCAATGGTTGTTTCGCGGCCATGTCGAGCCTGAACGAGAAGTGGACTGCACTTTTCCACCATATGCTGCAACTGATGTCTATGCTCCTCATCATACGGGGATGAGCCGATCAATACCAGAAGTTCGAGATCCGTAGGGTTCCTATACGCAAGAATCAAGGCTCTGAGTAGCTCTTTGATGCAATCGATGTCATCGACATCAGGCCTGAGAATCTTGATGCCCATTCAGCTAATCCTAATCAACCACAGCCATCAATAAATCCATAACGAATCTCCAAATTTTTCAATTCCGAATTCTGGCAACGTACCGATGACCACGCATCGTGAAGAAGTGTGTTAAAATCTTGCGGCGCGCGTTCCAGCATGCGTCGGATATAACCATCCTTTGTTCCAGGGGGAAGTGCTGCTAGGCCCACAACGGCCACGTTAATCCATTTGGTGTCCTCGGCACGAGTTCCTATGACGCTTTCGACAAAGTAGGAGATAGCTTTGGTGCATCCCTTCTCCTTTTGAAGTTCGTCTACTTGGATATGGGCATGCTGCTTTAGCTCTGACCTCAAGCTTTTGCCATATTTTTTATCCTCGAGATCAATGCGATGCACAGTATGATGCGGCTTCAGGTGTTTTTGGATTGACTTGCGTTCACGGCTGGTGAATAACCACCGAGTTGATGCTCGTTTGCCCTTTTCAGGGGTCAGGCGCTGAATGTCAGCACCAATGAAGGCCAGCAATCTTTTGGTCGATTCGTTTGTGTCTGGGTCCGGAAGCTCGTGGAGATTATTGATAACGAAGAAGATGGTCCCGATGGTACCATCTGTGAGCATATCTCTCAAGCACTACCAGAGATGCTCCACGCTTTGATGTACCGTGTGTGCAGACTCGTTATTCGAATCCTTGAGAAAATGTTTCGCATAGGTAGCGAGAACCGCCTGCTGTCGGCAGAGCTGTTGTAGCAAAGACTTGAGTAAGTCTTCGGCAGTTGAACGGTCTGGCGTTTGATTGCAAAAGTAGTAGGCCAATAGGTCTGGACGATGGACAGAGTTACAGTCATCATCTTCCGCTTTTCTGATTGCGGCCTTGATCGACTGTATACTGGCAACAGATGCGTTGGTCTTTCCCTTACCCTTTGGTCCATAGATGTACAGAAAGCAGTCCGACATTTTTTCACTTGGAGAGGACCAACCACTCCTTCCACAACGGATCATCGAGCAGCCATGATCTAGAGGTCAGCCGCCGCGACAAGTTGGGGTAGGCTTTCTGCATGTCTGAGCCAGCTAGTTTTTCGATGACTCTTCTCCAGGTTTGGCTGTCTATTGCGGTATTGCGGTTTCGCGGGTACAGTTGAACCGCCCTCTGGCAACTCGCGGAGCACTCTGGATAATCCTTTTGAGTGGTCCTCTCACTCGTTGGTATTGGGGATCCTTGAATGACTCAAACTTGACCAGATCTCTGTGGGCTCTGTAGAGGCCTGTCTCCATGGAAGAATCAAGACTTGCTGAGTCTCGGCTGACAAATTCAGCAGATTCCTGTGGCACGTTAGCTTCAATGTTCTTGCGAGTCTCGAAGCTTTGGTTCGCAAACCTTTGACCGCAACTTGTCAAGCATGTCTTCGGGAAAATTCTCACTCGTTAGCTTTTGGATGATGTCTGTCCAATTTGTATTCAGTTCTTCAAAGAAGCAATGAACCTCGACCTTCTGGGATAGCTTGCCGCCAGAATGCACAAAACCACGTTTCAGCTCTCGTAAGCTCTCATTTCCAGGCTTGAGTAGTATCAGGAGCTGCGAGTCGACCGCCTTGCCAGTGTTTTCTTTGACTTGCATCTTGGCCCAATGTTCGGCTACTTCTGCAACAGGCGCACCGTTGAAGGGTGTTCCAAAGAATAAGCAGCCTGTGATGCTTTCGTACATGTCTGGATAGTGGAGCCGTTCACTTTCCGCGAGGCACAATGCTTTCGCAATTACCAGTCCGCCCATGCTATGCCCAAGCATTACGACTGGTCTCCTGGCGCATTTCTACATTCTTTTCAGCACAAAATTCTGTCAAAGACTCTGACCCCGTTGGGTTGATTACCTGTTCCTCTCTTCTCAAATTCAGGGCCTCGAGAAGCTCGGCTGCTAGGTTGTCCATATACTGCTTCATCTTGAAACGTTTCGCGTATGCCGAGCTATATGCGAAGAGCATAATGCGAGCACTGGGAAAGTCTTTGGCAAGCCCATAATCGTCTTTCAGCTAATGATAGCTCTTGGAACCTTCCTTTTCGTAGAGCCAACTCTTCTCTGGGCTCGCACCGAGGCCATGAATGGCCACAATACTGTCGCATGCATCAACGGAATTGTCCTGCTTATGACATTTAGCTGGACTTACTCAACAGTGGGATCCGGTGGGCTTCGGAGTATTTCCAGCCCCAGAATTGGGGTTGTTGTGACTTGAGGGTTTGCAGACATGGTTCTGTGTGCCCGCTCATACCAATACTGAATCTTGCCTATGAATGTCAATCAATAGTAGTGGAGGAACGAGAAGAGATCTTGAATTTCGCGCAAGAGAAGGCGAGGGCGGACCCAAGAAGGCTCTACTAGGTTTTAGGAAGCCTTTTCAGAGCACGATAACAATATTCAGGCAGCTGAGCTAAGTTGTTTTTCGCAGCATGGAGTTGGAATTTGGTTGGCCAAGACTACTCGGATTACGAGACCCTCGAACAGGTGGGTTTCATTTTCTACCTCAAAGCATGTGATTTGTCCTTTTTAAGCCTTTCAGGTTGCGGATACATTCCTTTTCACTCCAATTCTTCGCGTATGTACATGGATTGGATGTCAGCAGCACATGATAATCCGCGCGACAATTCCTCCTTCGAGACTTTGGGGGGCGGATGAGATCAGGCTGTCCTATGAGGTCTTCCAAAAGCGAGAATGCCTCTGTAGTACCATCACCTAATGCAGGAGACCCTGCTTGGTCCTTCTGTGTCCAATGGAATGTGAGACTTTTCAGCTGTCGAGATGACCACTACACCCTCGAGAAAACGGGAATGATAGGTTAATCGCGGGAAAATAGTCTCCAGCACCTTGGTTCGTTTTGAAGCGGCTTCGACATCGTCGGAGCTCGCTCATTTCCGTCTGTTCTCTCTCAGGTTGACTACATGCCATCACGGGTGTTCGCTACCAAACAGATAACGCAGATGGAGATGCCGTCAACGAAGGAAGAAGGTGAAGCTCAGGTACTACTCTATTCTCATGATGCCGAATGGAGGGATGCAACTGACCTGGCAATGGACACTGTAGCTTGCTCCCTATAAAACCCAGCTTCTGATAAAAGCATCCTCTCCAGACCAGTTGCAAAACCTCCTTCCAGTCTCCTACCGGACGGGTTCAGACAATTCTGACCTCGCTCCTGCGACACCACACAACAGCGCCTTCCTGGAGAAAGAGCTGGGGCTTGGACGTTTAGTCCAACTGAATCCGCGGCTATGGTTTGCGGGACGGCCAACCCCGACACGCCCGCTACACTATCAACGGATGCTGGGCCGGGAAATTGTCGTAGCCGAACAGATGGATCTCCATCTCGTCTGGACGACGGGGCTCATCCACATCAAACCCATTCCACGATTTCTGCTGGAACCCAATTTCTGGACACATTGTCTTTCTTGCCAAAGTCACCGGTGCTCACGAACCACATTGACACCCTGCGATCGCCAGAGACTTTGGAGGTGTGCCTTGGGGTTCCTGTTCTCCTACGCTGCTCTGATCTGCCACGAGAGCGACTTCTTTCTTGCGAAGGACAACCGCTTGATTCCCAAGGAAGTTGAATGGGACGACTGGAGGGAATTCGCCACGGAGCTGAGTACGCAGACCATCTACGGGCGGATCGATGAGCGCTTCTATTACGGAGAGCTGCGCCTCAGCCGGTTGAACAAGCTGCAGTATCTGGCTTCCTTGAGTTCTTACATGCCTCCGTGGAATCGCTATGGGGATTTCTTTCACGACCAGTTCGCGTGGCTCGCCTCCACAACAGTTTATATCGCTGTGGTTCTCACAGCGATGCAAGTTGGTCTGGCTACTACACATCTTGCTGATAATGCAGCCTTTCAGTCGGCCTCTTATGGTTTTACTATCTTTTCAATTCTGGCGCCTCTCGCGGCTATGGCTCTCGTTCTGGCAACCTTTTTATATATGTACGTGTCGAATTGGCTAGCGACATTGGCATTTCGAGATCGTAGACTTGCAGACATTACACGTCTGACCCAAGTCTAATGCCGTTGGTGCTTTTTTAGAAGAGTCCTATGAGCAACCTGGCCACTACTGGAGATCTTCGTCCCTTAACGACCGGTAATAGATCACACGCCTTCCATCATCTGAACACCTGACACTATGCGGCCTGTGTCAGATCTTTCTTAAACTGGGCATCCCAGGATGAGCCCACTACAATGGATTCGATGCACAAGTCAATGCTAGTCACGAACGAGATCATGGATGACCATAATTAAGACCCGCCCCAGTACCCAGAGCTGCCGCCCTGATTTTATGCTGCCAACTGATACGGTACCTGTTCAAAAGATTTGGCTTTACCTTACGGCTCTGGCGGTCAAACGAAGTTGATGGCATCACGGAAAAAGAGACGTTGCAGAGTAAGTTGTAAATATATGTTTTCCATTCCAAGTAACATATTTGACGTGAAATATCTACTCGAAAGGTGGTATTAAGTGTTTGCACCTGAGTGCTCTATATCCATATTGGCCGGCTACCATGTACTAAACCAATCGAAGAGCGTTTCTAGTTAATTTTAATGCTAGTGAGCACAGAAATTTAGAAGATGCTGCCGACGCTGCAGAGAAGGCCGCCAAGGTTGATGGCCTTGAGGATACCCCCGACGAGGCCAAGGACGATGGGCAGAAGGCCGGCAAGGACCTCAAGGAGGAGGCCAATGACACCGCCAAGGACGGAGCAGACGAGCTGCAAGAGACCCTCGATGAGGCCGTTGAGGGAGCAGAGGAGGTGGAAGACAACGGTGAGGAGGACGAAGATGATGGGGCCGAGGAGCTCGAAGATGCCTATTGAATGGTTAGCGGGAGTCACTCTGACGGGTCGTGGATTGTTTTGTAAACTTACTGCAGCCAAGAACCTTGATGACATGCTTCAGGCAGAAGATGATGTCAAAGATGAGCTCAAGGACGCAGGAGATGATCTTCTCCTTCTCCTCACCGACAATCTCGACAGTCTCGCCAAGGCACTCGACAATGTCGCCGACGAGGGAGTGGATCAGGCTGATGATGATGGTGACCTCGCTCTTGACGAGCTTGATGATGTCGGCCTTCTTCTGGGCGATCTGGCCCTTGGTGACACCGTCGACGGTGGAGTTGATGGTGGAGCAGTGCTTCTTGACCTCGACGATGGTGTACTGGATCTTGGTGTAAACGACCTCAGTGCGCTTGACGGGGGCGTCGGTCTCGGGGACAACGGGGATGTGGACGACGGGGACCTTCGCGACATCGGTGACATCAGTAGGGAGGCCCGGGAGGGCAGGCGCCGCGAGGGAAGTGGCGAAGAGGGAGGAGATGGCGACAAGGCCGAGGTTGAGGAACTTCATTTTTGCGGTTGGGGGGGTTGGTTTGAATTAGTTAAAGAGTGTGGTGTAAGTTGGATTAAAGAATGACGAAGAGACAGAGCTGAAAGAGCTGGATAGTCTGAAAAGAGTGACTGAGTGAGAATGCTGAAGCTGGATGAAGAAAAGTCTCTATTCTGGCGGAGTTGTCAAAGGCTTAAGTACCTGGAGGACATGAGGTCGATGCACGAATAAGACTTATCATGACATCCTCATGGAGAGGATCATGACCCTCAACAATTCCCCGAAGATGCCGATCGCAAACCTCCACAAGGTTTCCAAATGCAGCTCGAAATTATCCCTCTAGGTGAAAGATCATGGGTCGCTTCCTAGTTTGTCTCATCAGCCTCTCACTTGGCTGCCTCTATTTCCTAATCATCCTTCCAAACCCTTGACGAGAGTTCGTCATGGCGGCAGACAGCCTCCCGTGCCCCGGCTAGTCAAATGTGAAAAGTTGACGATCAGAGCTGACCTGGCAGGGCAGTTATTCTGCTTCGGGGATTTTAGTGGGAGACGCCCCCATACAGAACCCTTGACGTTGACGATCGTTACTCCACGGATGCTCCGCGACGACGTCAAAACGTTCGTTAGCCACATGTAGGGAGAGACACGATGAAATTAAGCTTGGCATGCTTGCTAGGTGCCGTTCGACCGTTGTCCTGCAAGCTCAAAGTAAAACTAGAAGGAAAAGTTTGCCCTTAATTGTCCGCACCTGAAGTCGATAGTTCGGTTGTCAAATCAAAAGTCAAAGTCGGTCGACTTTGTTAGCGGGCAATTGTCTCAGCGCCGCTATGTGAACCAAAGCAAACCAAACCCAATTCCGAAGTTGTCGCTGAGCCTTTCTGGGCCGGAAACAATGTTTTAGTGAGCTTTTCGTGGCTTTCGGAGGCTCGGACCCCCCCAGAGATCAGCGGATTCGCGGGTTGCTTGGCAAGGGTTGCTTGGCAAGGGTTGCCGATGATCATCATTTGAGACCACAGCCAAATCCCGAATTGGATGTTACCCTCTTCACGAGATCATAATCCAGAAGGTTTCGTAGGTCAGAGGCGGTGAACTTAAAACAATAATCCTGTGATGGTCGCGATGCAGGGCGGCAGGTCGTTCCAAAGCGCGCTGGATCACCAACTTGAGTTGCTGACTCTTTGACCCCCTTTTAGGGCATTCAGCTGTTGCCGCGGCTCGCTCCCGGCCTTTCCAACCCAATTTACCGGGACAATTTCCCTTTCCTCGGGTACTAAAATCAGCCAGCCATTTTGAAAGATTATCTCTTCCTCTCGGTGTGGCTGATCAGATAGATCTAACGTCGCAAGCAGAGATTGCAGGAGACTGGGCGAGGGGGAAGTCGGGAGCATGCGGCGCTAGGTGAAAGTGCCGGCAGAGATTGTCATCGAAAATGGCGTTGTGATGAAGACAGTCGAGAAGTCCAGGACTCAGGAGGCAGATGAGAGATGCCCTGCACGGACAAAGCGACATCACCAGGGGAAATTCAGACAGCCCACATTGTTTGGTCTCATGCGTGCGCCAAAGTCGTCTGAATTTCTCATCCTGCTGGCTGGCTGCTGTCTTGCATTCGCTGGACGATGATGCGACCCCTGGCTTCATGTTGCGGGGGATGAGAGACTGGGGGGTCTCTTTCATCCTCTACAATCTCCTCCATCGAGTATAACCAATGGCTTTAACCCCCTTTTCGTGGCCATTATAGCATTGCAAGAAGGATTTTGGCTCACCCCCCCCGGCCGATACGATGATGATATGGGCGGAATTGCCGACATAGCTCTCCGCAAGGGAGCGCGAGGCGCGAGGTCGTGTTTTACACCAGAATTGTCTCTACGTGTATCAAGTTGCCGATCCATCCGCGGCAAGGGTGGGGCTAGGTCATTCAAGCAGGTAAGTCTTACCGATTGGAAAGACGAAAGAAAAAAAATACTGGTGTTTTGATCTTCTTCCTTTGGGAGATCGGCGGATGAATTCGGGGATCAGCCGCATGGGAACCGAAGAATGTGAGGTCGCGTGCGAATGCGGGAGACAAACCCACACAAGCCTTTCGTGCATTCTCAAGTTAATGGAAACAATGAGCTTCCCGTGCCTTGGCAAGACGCGGGAGTGGCAAGCTGGTTGGGAACTCTCTAAACACCAAAACTTGGCTTCTAAGTTTCTTTGCTTCTTCAATCTTAGGTGGTCCGCTCAACTTCTTCAACGTTGATATTCCCTTTTTTGGATAATGCGTGTCACCGCCCCGACACTCGATCGCCAGTACGCCAGTACCATTTTGAGCCTCGGAGGAGCCCGACCACTTACGAAGCCTACCGCCGAGTCTCACTCTTCGAAATGTCTGAGAGCATGCCATCTCAAGGAGAAGCCTGCACAGAGTTCTGGGCATGACAGATGGCAGGTGACAGATGACACCAGACGCGAGCGCCGTCCAATCCTCCCCTCGTGTAATGCGTTGCACCTTCGTTTTCATCATCGCCTTCAGCTTCATCCCATCTCGAATGCATGTGTCAGCGCAACGCTCACCACTGACAGCCACATCAGCCGCAAGTGGCGGACGCGAACCAGGCACGCAGGGAGATCCTATCCTTGGCAAGTGAAACATCAAGCGTTCGGGCCTATCACGGCGTGGTCGCTGCAGCGGTGACCCACGTCCAGACGGGCCCAAGACGGGTTTCACAAAGCTTTTCAGTCTTCTTTTCCCCTTCTTTTCAGGGGAGATGGCTGCGCGGTGGCCGCGGCCGACATGCTAGGCGGCTGCGACCCGAGTCGGTTATGCCAGCCGACGGCGACTGTGCCTTTGTCGGTGATGCTCTCGGTTCGGTTGGGCGCGTGGTGCAGCCGCCGTGAGTAGCGGGGGCAGATCAAGATGGAGGATCCTTGAGGTAGATCTGTTTGGCTGACTGAGTTCAGCGACGCATACGTTTACATGTCGGGAAAAACTCTGTGGAATGCGCACAAGCTGGTTCGAGTTCTTCGCATGCTCGCAACTGAATTCCGTCAAACGAGTCGTAGTGATGGAAAACCTCCCGATGCAATCGGCCGAAGATGTGCCTTTCGCGGTGTCGCTATTTCCATGTTTCTGGGTCCGAGTGACACACCCAAGTGAGTGAGGGCGGGAGAGAGGCTTTGCTCCTCAACACTCAGACCTGCAGTTGTCAGGTCAAGTCGTATAGGAGCGAAGTGTTATGCCCTGTCAGTGTCAAAGTCATCCAATGAGTTGCTCCTTATGTCGGGCGTCATTATCGATGTCGTCCAATGTTGGCCGAATCTGCGGACATTGGCCGACACCTGGTCGCTATTGAAGCCTTACACCGAATATTGTTGCCCCCCGCCCCACCACACGTTGGACGTCGCGAAGGGAGGTGAAGGTGTCGCGACGTTTCACCTGCCTCAGACGTCGATGGGGCTGCTCGTCTCGTTCCTGGATTCTTACTGCATTGGGATAGGGTCGCGTTTGGGACGACGTCTGGCTAGCGAACGCAGTCCCAAGCCATGGCCATCACCAACCCAAACCCATACGAACAATAGCCGCGGAGATTCACCGTACGCCTTTGGGGCCTCCTTGTACTGCTGTTTCGCAGACTTTCTCCATTATGGACGTCGAGGTCTGGAGAGTCAAGTATAAAGTCTAATGATCGTCCGCCTCTAGGTTGTGGTTTCCGCTTCTCAATTCAGCAGCTTCACTTCTTCGTTTGTATTCCATTCTCATCTCATCGCCGATTGATTCGCGCGGATTTAAACTTATTTCCAACTCTTTCACTTCTATTCAGAACCTTTTTTCCAATCTAATCCGGCTCGGATCCGAATCATCGCTTTAATCAAGTTACCAATACTTCAAAATCCCCACAACTCTCTCAAAATGGTTTCCAAGACGATCATCTTCGCTCTCGCAGCAGCTACTTCTGTTGCCGCACACGGCAAGGTTGCACAGGTCACTGGTGATCTCGGTGGCAACGGCACTGCTCTCGCTATTCAGGGTGGCGTTGTTCCCGGCCCCGGCCCCAACCGCAAGGTAAGTTCACGAACCCATAATAGCCAAAGCACCCAAGAGCCCAGAGGACTGACTTGTTCCAACTCAGACTGAGCTCGACACCACTGTCTTCAAGAGCAAGAACATCATGACCGACGGCATGGGCAAGACCACCGGCGGCGGCAAGGTCCAGGCTGCCGATATCTCCCAGGCCATGGCTCTTTCCGGCGACACCCTCCCTCAGGTCTCCTCCACTGGCGGCAGCATCTCCGGCACCTTCCACGTCGTCACCACCGACGGTGCCGGTCCTCTCCGCGCCGTTCTCGACCCCACCGGTACCGGCGCGTTTTCCCAGGGCACTGAGCTCACTGTCACTCAGCAAGTTCCCGGCAAGAACGGTAACATCAGACCCAATGGCCAGGTTCCTGGCGGCAAGCGTTCCCTCTGGGAGCGGGCCATGAGCGTCATCGAAAAGCGTGCTTCCAACGTCAACAAGGACTTCGTAAGTAGCACTGTAATCCACGTTGAACTACCATTCACTAACACAACTTCCCTCAGCCCATGGCCTTCTCCGTGCCCGCCGGCACCACCTGTACTGGTACCATGGGTGGCCAGAGCAACGTCTGCTTGGTCAAGATTGCCAACAGCAACGGCGCCGGCCCCTTCGGAGGCGTTGTGCCCATCCAGATTGCCCCTGGCGGTGCCGCCACCAACTCTACCCCGGCCGCTGCTCCGGCCGCCAAGCGCGAGGTCGAGTTCCAGGCATAAGATGTGATCACCATCGATGCTCGTATACGGCTTCGGGGATTGGAACACGAATCTTGTTGTTCAAGGCCCCTGGTGGGCAGCGTTTAAGATTGCTGAAAGGGTGTAAGCTGCAATTAGTTAGCCAGTAGCTCTGGTCTAGTGACCCCATCATTCTTCTTTGAGGATCACCCTCAACCTTTTGAAATTTATATTCATATTTCATCTTCCTAAATCTCAAATTTCTTGGAGAGTCGTTGTGAATGGTTAACTTTGTTGTGTGCTGCAGCTACTCATCGTCGCCGCATAAGAATAGAAATAATCCCATAATGTAGGTGGAACAAGACCATCCACGATCCAATAAATGGAGAATAATGCACATTAGTCCTTCAATGCATGAAGAAGAGCGATCACGAAACAGGACGGTAGGTTTTGCTAGTTGTGCATCGATATAGAGTAATCTTGTCCTGACGTTAGACTGAAAGGAGAAACACCAACAATGTATGCTAACTACCTCACTTTTCTACAACTAGGCATAACTTCCACAGTCCTCGCCTCCAGTGTCAGATACTGTAATAGTAGCTTCTCATGGCATCTTTGTATGACTCCCCACCTTTGAGATGGAGGTCGAAGCTGTTCTGGACGTCCAGGACCTGCGAGATATGCTCCATACCAAGCGGCTCACCCTTGTTGACGGCCAGGGCCTGGGCGGTCCGGATAGTGTTCTTGATCTGGCGACCATTGAGATCATGTTTCGCAAGACTTTCATAGTCATCCTCAGTGAAGGGCTTGAGGTCAATCTTCTCGAGAACACGGACCCGCTCTACAAAGATCTTGAAGATGGCCTTTTTAGCCTTCTGTGTGAGACTATCGTAACGCAAAGCAATGTGAATACGTGATTGGAATGCATCATCAAAGGTCTGTAAGATTGTGAGCAACGAGTAGATACGGAGAATCGATGGGTGAGAGTGCCGTCGCGTGACTTACCTCGACTCGGTTGGTTGTCAAAAACAAGATGCCCTGGAAATACTCGAGCTGGCGCAAAAAGATACTAACCAGTGCGTTGCGTGAGATCTCGTGGAGATTTCTCTTTTCGAGAAACACATCGGCCTCGTCGAGAAGGAGAATGGCGCCCCAGGCGTGGCAGATGTCGAGGATCTTCTGCAACTCCGTCTCCAAGTATCGAGAGTCAGTGCCTAGCTCCCCGGCAGAAACCATGTACAAGGGACACGTGAGAAGCTCGCTGATGCCTTCGGCTGTGAGCGTTTTACCAGTTCCAGGCGGTCCGTGGAGTACAGCTGGCAAAATATCAACGAGGAGATATCAATCATTATGGGAGAAAAGAGGACTCACCGACAAGACCTTTGCCCTTGCCTTGGATGACATCGTCAATGCTCTCGGCAGCATGGTACTTGTGCGACTCGACGAGAGCCTGCCAATATGTAAGCCGTTTTCTTCTCACCGCCTCCAAGTATGGAATTGCTTACCTTGACTATGTCTTTCTGCTTCGGCTCAAGCACCAAAGACTCATACGCGCCATCATTCCACTGAATGTCATTGACTCCGGAGACGGTAAACTCAAGCCAGAGCTTCTCGGAGAAGGAGAATCCCAACACAACAGAAGATGCAATAAGGTAATCCTCGTCAGAGAACTCCAGAGCCTTCTTCGTCTTGCCACTATCCTCCTCCTCGTTGGACTCCTCGCCGGTCTTAGCTTCGTCGACGCGCTCCAGCGGTTTCTCCTGTACAGCAGAGTCTTCGACCATGGATTTGGGAATTCGGAGCATGCGAATCTTACCCTTGGCATCGCGAACAACCTTTGTGGCCATCTTCCCGCAGCCCGCATCGTCGTCACTACCACATGCGTTCTCCGAGGTTGAATCGTCATTCTCGCAAAGCTTCTCGTCGTCATCAGAATCCTCCGAGTCAGAGAGAATGTCGTGGTCCTTGGGCCTGACGGCAGAGACTTGATAGTTCGGGTTGATCCTGCGGTGGACAGAGGGGTCGACCATGATGCGTCCGTTTATGTTGACCTTGATGATGCTCTTCTTTTTCTTGTAGTACGCCAAGCCGTGGTGGCTTCGGTAGTGCACACCGCCGAGGTTGACGAATTTCTTGCCACGCTCGATAAGGGCAGCCTTGATCCCTTCCTCCTCCTTATGGTAATCAAGAGGGAAGGCGTTGAGGCTACTGATCTTTCGAGCGCCTCGAAACTCCGGGATCTCCTCACAGAGAGTCCCATACCCGAATTGTTTCCCATCATACTCCAAGTACTGAGAGACGGTTAGTGCTGTACATTAAGGAATGAAAGATGTTCTTGAAAAGAACTGACCTTGCCGTCAAGAAGGTAGAACTCTCCCTTTGTCATGCTGCACATCTTCTCCGCCTGCTCCACCTTGAAGACTCGAGGCTCATCGGAGGAGCCGTACGTGGTGGTGTAGATGAGGGTGTTGGGTTTGAAAAGAGCCCAGAGAAGATCGAAGGTGATGAGGCCATTCTCCAGCATGGGATAGAGGCTAATAAATGGTAAGCAATGGCTTCTCAATATGATCGAGGTTTGAACTTGTACCTCTTCTTGACTTCGGCATAGTCCTTGTCAAGATACTTGAGAAGCACTTTGAGATGCTGGCGCTTGTTTTCGATGTCCTTTCTGAACTTCTTGCGCTCCTTCTTGTTCAAGTCCGTGGTCGAAATCTTGCTCAACGCCTTGCGGTACTTTCGTAAGTCTTCTAGGTACCTGGAGGGTTCAGTTAGCTTCACAAGAAAATCCACATTGGGTCGTTGGAACTCACAAGAATACCATGTTGGGATTCAGCTTGGGAGTCTCATCGACAAGGCTGATTCCTTTGATGTTGCCAATCACCTCTTGAAGGCACTCGCGCAAGACCCTGCTTTTGACATCGAGGTAGGTGGTCTGGTACTTGCCTTCCCAGTCAAAGGTACGCCTGACTTGCAGCACATATCCGTCGTACTGCGAGTTCGAAGTGGTCGCCGATGTCTCCTGAAGTCTGTAGTTGTGAATCGTGGTGTCCCAGACCTGATCAACTCGCTTGAAGTCCAGCTTGGAGGATCTCTTCTTTGGAGGCGCAGGCGGTGAAGGAAACTTCCCGCGCTTTGCGAATTTGTTGCCAGTCATGGAAGAGCCGTGACTGAGGCCAGCATTACCGAGACCGTTGCTTTTTGGATAGAGCGGGGCGCCAGCCTGCATCTGTCTGAAGAGTGCCAATTGATGAGGTGTCATTGCGACCCTGGTAACACCACCGACTTTTCCAGGCGCATCATCATCCGAATCTTCGATAGTTTCGGAAGAATCGGAGTCAGAGGAGGAGGAAGAGGACAATGGAGTCCGTTTCCGAAGTGACTTGTACTTTTGCTTCTTCGAGGATCGGCCATTCTTGCCTTTGCCGCTGGATTTCTTCTTAGACTTGCCGTGCTCCCTCTCACTATCACTTTCGGACGATTCAGAAGAACTGTCTTCCGAATCGAAAGAATTCTTTCCAGCCTCTGAGTCGCTGTCGTCAGTCAAATCATCGTATGAGTCATCAGTGTCTAGGTTGGCTGTTTTCTTGTGCTTCTTCGCCTTCTTGAGCTGCTTCTTTGACTTAGTCTTCGCAGCCTTTTTCTTATCCTTCTTGGCCGCTTTCGCGCTCTTGGATGCCTTGCCTGGTGAAGATGAAGCCGGAGCGACGACGACCGTGGTAGAGTCTTTGCTTGCGTCCATGTCGGCAATGGCAGGATCAGCTAGCGTATTGTCGGATTGCCGGTCGTTCAGGCCTTGATCCGCGGATGCCATACCGATGAAGCCTGGTGAGGGGTTGATGACGTGTTGATGTGTGGCTCGGTAGGAATTGACAGTAGATGAGGTGGTGGAAGGAGTGAGAAAATTCTCTACAGCGGAGAAAGACTTTACATGCAATCAGAATTGGCGACGGTGCTCTTGGCCTGAGACTTTCGAATGATTCTTTGTGGAAATGCTGCCTGCTGGGGCAGGTCGTGGGGGAGGTGAATTTGCTGCTCGTTCTTTCGCCCTGGGATGGTATTCACCTTTGACACGTATGTTTGAGAGAAATAAAGATTATTTTCATGAGGCGGTGCGAAGTCGGGTTACTTTCTTTCCATGAACCTTAGCTCAGAGAAAATGACGATGGAGTATCGAAGCGCTCCGCAGCACCTAGAAGCATTTCAATCGAGGCTTCCTTGCTGGCTTTGAGCCGCAATCGGGTGACTCGTCTCTTTATGTTATCACTGCATCCTTGCGAAATATGGGTGACTGTATGACAGCCTTCTGCTACTTTAGTCTACCTATCTGTTGGAGGAAAGCACTGGACCATGCAGGTAATTTGTGTGCACTATCCTGTTGGTTGCGCCAACCCCTATCTACCTTTCTCTGATCGACAAGGCAAACACATGACACCCACCACGTTGGCCTAGAGCCGCTGTCAGCTTGATGGCCGCTTTCCTTGATTACATAGCTGGAAAATCCAAGAGAACAATTCTAGGCATCATCATCATAACTCCGACTTGGTTGGAGGCTCGTAGCAATTGCCGTCCACCCGTTCATATTCAGAATCATCCTGCCGCGCTTCATGTTCAAGGTGCGATACAAATTTCTGAGGCTGGCAAGAAGCCTCACTACGGCAGTATTCTGCGGCCAACAAAGAATGCCTTCAACCAGTCCATGGATACCTAGTGGTGTCCACACCTTACCGCCCTTCTTACGTATTCTCTGTGCTAGGTATGAGTAGGAAATCAAAAGTAATTCGTCAGATGTATCATGTTACTCTTATGCATCGTGCTGATTAGTGTCATTTGGGTGATACGTACAAAGTCTGCCTCGCCAGCAAGCTATGCCTAGAAACATAGCGGTTCGTCTTCATCCTGCCTAAAATTGTCTCGGGCAGCGGATGCGGCCAGAATCAGCAACCCCACCGGCCATGTGGCCGAAGCGAACCGTTTGTACAGCATAAATCAGCCTCATAATCATAAGGAAATGAACCAAGGGGCCTTCATTCGCTTGAAAATGAGGGTGTAAACGCAAACCGTTTGCTGTTCAAAGCGGACGAATGCCTTATCTGCCTAATTTCGCTCTTCCTTGACTTCAGTGCTTTTTCCACATCACCCGATGAGAAATCGATCCGGGCCACTGGATCTCCGCATTTTGTGTGACCTCTCCACTAAGACTTTCGTTCTGGGTGTCCTGCATGTACATGCATGTTTGGAGGGCGCGGGGCGACATACAAACGAATGGCAGACAGCAATGCCAAGTTGCTTAGCCCCGACGTTGGAAGAGTGAGGCGCCCCTGCCCGCGAATAGGAGTTCATCGTCCTTGTGTGATTGCGGCTGGAAGACGCAATCTTTGACGCGAGGAAGCAGATGACATCCCTATTGGTCACAATTCAGAAGAAGGCAGGTCTTCTGGGCTCGATGCTCGACATCTCGGGGTATGGTTTCTGATACTGCTTGAACCGGCATCGGCCCCACCTCCCGGCTGTTGCCGAGCAGTGGGGTATGCTCGGAGATACCGGGCCATGCCGACTGCGGAGATCAAATCAATTTTCTCGGTCGTGAAATATCAACGGATTCAAAACTTATAGAGGGACTGGCCGGCCGAACACGAGAGTGACCTATCTGATTGAAGGCTCGGCGCTTACAATTCTCATGTTGATGGGGCGATTCCCCGCCTTTCACAGAGTTGAAGATGGCGCCACGAAATCCTTCGGCGGGGAAAGTCGCCGAAAGTCCCGTTGCTAGGAGTTTAAAGAAGCTGAGAAGTAAGCGAAATTTCTGTTGATCACCCAAAAACAACCGTGACAACATTATCGTTCCTAGTATTGGCAGCAAAATCGCTCAATTGAGGTCAAAGTAGCGTGCCATCATTGCGTCTTGCCTCTTCCTATAGCAGATATCTTCGGCAGATATTCACGAAATAATCCTTCAATCAATTGTACGAGGCCGACACCATGGCATCGGGCCAGTTCTTCGACCCCTTAGTCGCACTTCGCGTCGCGCCTCTTGTTTCATCAACTTGCACCCTGCTGTTCGCTTGGGATCAGCACTTCTTCCTCAGCCTATTCAATGATACCTCTGAGCTTCGAAAGAAGAGCGCGCCTATGTTGAAGCCGTACTTTAACACCTTCTTTTCACGCGGCGTCTTTTTCGTCCTGGGCTTCATCGCCGTATCGACGAGCACCGGTATCTCAAATCTCTACAGCCAGCCAGCTGCTCTGAAGTCGCAAGGCACTTATTGGTGGTACGCTGCTGGCGCGGCGTTGTCGGCGGGACATTTGCTTTATGTTCCGGCTGTTGCACCGCACGTGAAGGCTTTGGCCGAGGCAGAAGACGACGACGACGTCAACGGAATCTTGGATGAGTGGTTGAAGGCCAACTGGTTGCGCATGGTTACCGTGGACCTTGGTGCCTGGCTTGCTTTTGGTGTTGGGGCTTTAAGCACGTTGCGTGTGTGAGCAAAGTTGGAGATATAGGTGGAACATGTAAATATAATGTACCCGGTAATGGAAATGCCTTCTGGCTAGAAACTGCTCCGAGGCGAGCAGCCTAGTCTCGCAAGATCAATCAAGAACCTTGAGTAAAGAAATCCCGCCAAGTTACTAGAGATTGAGGGATACTTAGTGCGCATCAGCTACGAAGTACCTTTTCAGGTGAGAGGCGATGTATGAAGTCGACTTCCTTACTCATATTTCCTCAGAGGCATTTGGAACCTCTTCCTTCCGCTCACAAACCAATCGGCAAGCGCACCTATCAAGACTGCTCCAAATATTGGACCTGCGTAATTCATGTTGTCCTTGGTGACTGGCAAGACTTGTGGGAACGGCATCCATAACACAACGTATATCAAGTAGCTGAGCGCGAAGAGATTGACCGGAACGCCGACAGCTCCTAGCTTGAAGGGTCCGTATGGCGGTGGCGGGCCGCGAACTTTCCGGAGTAAGAGAAAAAGGATCGGGAAAAAGTACGATACATGAAGAGCCAAAGCCTGGAGAGAGATCAGGGCGTTGAAAGCTGTGGCCGAGGCGATGTAGATCAGGGAAAGACATGTGACTATAATCCCAATGAGTAGCAAGGCATTCATTGGTAACTTGAAAGTAGGACTGATCTGTGATAGAACGTCAAGCTGGGAGCTTTGGCAGCGGAGCTAGGAGTTAGAATGACTTACATGCGAGAAAAAGCGGGAGAATGGCAAGCCCTTGTCGTTCGCGAACATCCATACTAGACGGGATACTGACGCCAACATGTTGAATGAGGCGAAGAAGATAATGACTGCTACCAGGGAGACGAGAGTGTTGGAGGCAGCTTTCGAGCCAGTCGCATTGTAGGTTACGTAGATGAGCGGCAACGGGGCTGTAGAAAGGTCGTCCAGAGGTCCAATGTAGAAGAGTAAGATCGTAACAAACACAAAAAGCATGACTGAGTTGACGACGCAGGCAAGAATGACGCTTCGTGGAACGCGTGTTCTAGCTTTCTTTACTTCATCGCCTGTTCCAGTTTGATGGTCAACGTCTCACAGCTGGAGGATTCGGTCTCAGTTTGTTTTCAAGGAAGCAACTTACTCATGTGTATGACGCTGTCAAATCCCGTTACGGAGAACGTTATCGTTAAGAGTCCCAAACCCCATGATACTCCGGGATCATTCCATCCCGAGACGTCAGATGTAAGCGTCTTTAAAACGTAGTCGGAACTGCTGCGTTGTCCAAGGACAGCGAGAATAACAATGAAGGCCACGAACAAAGCAATATGCAAGACCCCGCCAATTATCTCGAACGCATTGAGAAACTTTCGAAACCAGAGATTAAATAGAAAGGGCAAGACGAGAGTACCAATCATGATGAGACTAGTATGCCATCGCTCTGGCGCATAGTTATCATAGTTGAAGATGGCTAGGGACGTGATGATGTTTGCCAGGATTGATGGTGGTCCCCCACAGGCGAAGCACCACGCAGCAGTAGTGATCCATCCTGTTTAGCTAGTCAGCATTGGAAACATGGCATGTAAGTCTTTTGGACTTTTGTAGTGAGATACCCTGAAGTAAACCCCAGAATCTGTTTGCGCTAGGGGCAAGATTTGCAGACCAACGATACTGCGCGCCGACAGTCGGATCTCTATTCGACTTCGTTAGCGGCGAGAATCTTGATATTTCATCAAGTCCAATGGGCTTACATTGATGCTAGCTCAGCGAGTGAAAATCCGACGGCACAAGCTCCGAAGCCAGCCAGGATCGAGCCGTAGAACATCGAAGCAGGGCCACCATTCGCTAACGCGAATTGGAACGTTACGGCGAAAGACTCCCATGATGCCAGTATGATTACGCCGAAGTTTACAACAGAGGAATGGTTAATGTATCGCTGCGAGACTATTAGACTTCGAAAACAGATGCTTAGAATTTGGGCTAGAGGACCTCGAGACCAGATGGCTGCTGCTGTTCGCCATATTCCTCAGAACGAGTGATCAATGTCTTTTCATCAGCACCATCTATTCTGCGTCCGATCGCGTCTGCTCCAATCCTGTCGGTATCTACAACAGACGCCATTATTGATTTACGTTGCAGAATTGAACAGATTGACATCCAAGGGACAAATAAACATCAACTCTGCGCGGTATTATAAGCTTTTCTTGTGAATCCTTTCCGGCCCTCTTACCGCCTGTCTCGTTATCTTTCAAGAATACCCTAGTCCTCTTTGAAAGTTGATGTCGCAAAAAGCATGCAAGAAGCGACCATTTCTCCAATCGAAAACCGGATGTAGCGCCAATTGTGGCTTAGGCTAGCCGCCCACCGCTTTTGCCATAAATCTGAGGTAGCATTGAATCATACAGCAGCACAGCCTGGAGTAACATGGTGTTACATAGCTGTGTGTAGATCGTCTGCACGTAAGCTGACTGCTTTGGTGCCCGTGGCGACCCAATCGAACTCGAGCGCACTCTTTTATTCCAATACTTGAGGTTAAAAAGCCTCCAAATTCCATGGACTTGTATATATAGATGCCTGACTAACTTCATCCCTCAAGGAGAAATGTCGAGAAGTTGCAACGACAAATCGCTTGCCCATAACTAATTGCCGCATGATGATAGAGAAAAAGGCAGTATCGTAATAATATGCCATGAAGATGCTGCAACAACGTCCTTACGCGATAAGTACTTGGTGTAATTGTGTGAATTTTCCCAAACAAGATCTTGCCTCTGAACGTTAGAGGGACGGAGATGTAGATGAAGAAGAGGAATAAGTAAGGTTGCAAGTGATTTGAGCGGCGAGAGCGAATTCTTAGACGGGAAGCTCTGTCTAAATATTTTGGCGCTATACTTGCGACGATGAAGAAAGATAGCATTGCCGCCAGCAAATACGAGGGGACTTTCTTCTGGCCGCCCGTGTATACTTGGGCACATGTTTTGATCATCTGACTTCGTAACATAATTAGTGTCTTGGCGGATCAGACTGTTAACCACAAGTATATGTCGGCGAACAGTTCCAGCGTATCTTCCCGGGGAGGACCTGAGAAATAAAGCTGGTATCGGGAGCTACTTCTTCCCGAGGCCGGTCCAGGAACTTGAGGAGAAAGATTTGAGATGTTTCGGTAATCTAGTGCCAATCGGCTGTCCACGCTTGAGACAACAAAGATAGAGGTTCAAGAGTTTTCTCCCGCTGGTAAGCTCCGAGCAATAGATGCTGCTAAGACACGTAGCCTTAGAAACGGCCTCCGGTCCGAAGACGCGTCATCGGTCGTCTGAGGCATAATCCAAGGTCATCGCGTTCCTGTCAAAGAACGCCATCGGCAGGCGCGGGGCTAGATTGGTGCAACATCGATTTCGGGAAGCCGGCGACCTAGGCCAATTTGGAAAAGGCCGGGATTGTGGCAAAGGCCGACACGTGCATTAGTTTCCACCTCTTCTTTTCTCTTCCTTTCTTTTTGGAAGAGGAATCATGTGCGGCCTCCCGAATGAGAGTTGGGTGTGGTTGGGTTGGATGCCGCCGGCACAGACATGTAAGCTCGGATGTCCGAGAAACTGGAGCACGGCCGGCACCCACATTAGCGACGCCGATTGATGACCGTGAGCCGCTGAGGGAATCGTCTGCCGTACAGCCGACACGTCTTGATTATTTTGAGTCTGTTCTCATTGGCGGGATGTGGGGGGTAACCGTTTAGCCAGATCTTGGCCCAGCGTGAGCCGCCAGATTCGACACCTCGATGGCGCACCTTCGATAGCTAGTTCCCGCAGCTTTCACCCTGTAGTGTTTCTTGGCATCGCTTGCGAGGCAAAAACCCTCAATCAAGGTCTGAAACGATGATTGACGTTTAAGCCAAGCGTCTTGGAAAAACACTTATTCCATAGAAAGGTGTGTTGCCCTAGGGTTAGTCTTGCGATCTTTTTGAAAAGATTCAGGAAGAGTGGCATGGCGGCATAAAACTGTCATCCTCTCTGACAATTTTCGACGGCATCTTATTCCGAGAAATCTCGTTGCAGAAAGTATTCGTTGAGGTTGGCTGAGGTTGGGATGATCGCCGACTTGAGGCTAACGTCAACTTGAGGCGTCCGAACATTATGAAATTGCCTTTACGACTGGAATCGCCATTTTCAGCTCATGCAAAAAGCAAAAAAGTCGGAAAAAACGGCTGGATAGTCATCCCACGAGGGACAAAGTTTGAGGCGTTTTCTGCTTACGCTCTCGGGCCCTCAGACGCCCTGACTTGGAGGCTGGCATCAGACTGACAATTGAAGACGGGACGCTTACAACGCCACGCAAGATGACATTTCGGACAAGCAGCTAGAGACATTCACCAAAGAGCTACCTGACACATGGGCCAAGCCGTCAACGTTTCCTGTTGGGTTTGTTCTTCTGCGCCAATGCACAGCTTTTAGTGCCCTCTTTAGGGATCCTCCAGATTGACATGATTGCGGACCGAAACATCCCAACCGTGCTTTCAATGTCTGAAGCAGGCTAATGGCTCCTGCCTCCCGCTTCGGGGCCGAGCTGACGGCCATGAGTGAGTATGAGTTGCTTCTGTGCATACAGAGTGCATCTTTGCCACCGATATCTTATTGTGAGTTCAGGTATAATTAGACACTTGAGATCCCATTAATGCCATCAATTATCACTCCAGCGTTCAACATTCAGTCACTCGCTCTAATACAGGCAATACTCTCGTTCACAACACTCTCTCTTTCTCTCCCTCCAGTTATCATACCTCTTCAGCAAGATGGCCGGATCGAAAGCACGCATTGCTCTCACGGCACTCGTGGCCGTCGCCACTGCCTACCCCGGCATGGGACGGGGCGGCGCCGGAACCAGCCACGGAGATATGATGGCGCATCTCGCTAGCCGAGAGGGTGCCGCAGACAATCAAAATCTCGGTGATCTCCTCAAGATCCCCGACGGATCCTTGTCCGACGTCGGCAAGGATGTCAAGGGCATCCTCACGGGCTCCGGATCGCCTACCACGTCCGATGCGGCCAGCGGCAACCTCCCCGAGCTCGGCAGCTCTGAATGCAACGCGGACAAGTGCTGCGTGTGGCAACATGTCGCTGCTGACCTGATGCCCACGTTCCGTGACGATAACGGTTGCACCGACCCTGCCCGCGCCGCCATCCGTCTCGGATTCCATGACGCTGCTGGGTGGAGCTTGAACACCGGCGACCTCGGCGGGGCCGATGGATCCATCGTCCTCGCTCCTGAGGAGATCGGGCGCCCACTCAACAAGGGCTTGGAGGAGATTGTATCGCAGATGAAGACGTGGTTCGCCAAGTACAAGGACCACGGCGCCGGTATGGCAGACTTGATCCAGTTCGCCGCCAACACTGCGACGGTGGCATGCCCTGGCGGACCGAGGATTAAGACCTTCGTCGGCCGCAAGGACTCTTCCGTGGCTGCTCCCGATGGTCTACTTCCAGACCCGAAGGACCCTGCCGACAAGTTGATCGAGCTGTTTGGCAACAAGACCATCACCGCCCCTGGTCTCGCTGCCCTTGTCGGGGCGCACACTGCCAGCCGTCAACGCTTTTTCGACACATCCAAGGTCAACGCCCCGCAGGACACCACGCCCAATATCTGGGATGTTGACTTCTACGGACAAACTTTGGCTGGAGCTCCTGCCGAGGTTGTAACCTTCCCCAGTGATACGGTTCTGGCCAAGGATCCCCGTTCGGCCCCGGCCTTCCAGGCCTTCGCTAATAACGCACCGCTTTGGGGCGGAGTAAGTTTTTACTTGATCCATCTGCTTCAGGAATACAGCTGACCAAATTGCAGGCATATGCCAAGCAGTATCTCCGTTTGAGTCTCCTTGGTGTCTTCAACATCAACGACTTGACTGATTGCAGCAAGGCGCTCCCCGCCGGCACCGGTGTCAAGAGATAGATGTTTAAAGGTATTCTCGCTACATTATATCTTCGGTAGACTGTTGGGGAGGCGTATATAGATTGTGGAAGTAATTCTCGGGGAAACACGATTTAAGGGACATCACAATTTGTGACCTCCGCATAAACGATACCTAGGTAGAAATACGTAATCCATGATAGATATTAGGTAGATTCTTCATCCGTATGCAATTGTGAAGAAAATTGTATCCCTCCCTCAAAGGGCACTTGCAGTGGGTTTCGATGATTCCTTCGAGTTATTTTAAATAATGTTCAGGTCACTATTCGAGAGTCAGTAAGCAGGCTTATCTCCGGGTCGGTAGCGCACGGTGATCTGAGTAACTCCGGCCGAGATACTTCTCGGCCCTAAGCTCCTCGGACTTAGTTTCTGGTGCAGACAGCCCGTGATCTTGATACCCCCTTAACTTAAGTCTGATTCCCCATATTGCCAAGATCTAAGATTCGGAGGTGACTCTACTAGTCATCATCCATTGAAATATTGACAAGGGTTGCGGGATGCTTCAGTCAGGCGACTTGAGTTATCCGCCCTGCTGGTGCTGTGATGAAGACTTGGCCCGGAGTAGCCCGTCCCTGGCTGAGCTATCATACGTGATAGGCTTCACTTAGGGTATACTTGAGCGGAAGCAAACGTCGCACTCACGGAAGTGATTAGGTCGAAGCCGCTCTTTTTGGTCAAATTCCGGCCAAGACATTCCATCCACGTTATTTAGATGCGACGCAACAAGCCACGATGGCGATGCTTTGAAATCAACATCTCTGTCAACCCAAATTTGAGGGGGGTGAAGAGCAGTCGAAAAACCTTGCACAAGTCAACAGAGTCTGATTGAGACGCAATTATGATACTAGAGTTGACTGATCTATAACTACTAAGCAAGCTTCGCATCTTGTTCAAGCTTTCTCCTGGTCTGTTCTTCATTCCATCGCAAAGATGTTCGTTCGACATATAAGCTTGGTTCTCTTGGCGGCTGCGCAATACACCTTGGGACACCTCCATTCTCGACAAAATGGCACGACTCAGGATCCCGCAGTACTTCTGGCTCTGGGAATAGAAGCTCTCGGCGGGCGTGAAGCAATTTCTTCCCTCCAAAGCCTGACATACGTCGGCGAAACGTGAGCTGAGTCGTAGGCTAAGTTCTGTTCGGCCACTAACAGATCGTAGTATTCTCAGGGGAAGAACTTTGATGATGGGAATATCCGTCGCGGGTGTGGATAATGCTGCCGTAACAGCAGGCCGACAAAACATTTCTTTTGCCTTTGACGAAACACACGTCAAGCAACGCATTGACAAGATCGCGGCACTTGGGCGTTAGTATTACCTTTTAAGGCTATTCATAGTGCCCAACCTAATTCTTGCCAGCCGGATGGACCTTCGGAAGAGCAAATCTCATGCCGATGGACTTTTCCATCGTTGCCGAGGGTGGTGAAAGTGGATACGCAGCTGTCACTAGAGGCAGCTACAACTTGTACAATCCCTCCGGCGAGCCCCAGGGTTACCTCGACGGTCAGTAGCAGTCTATCCATTGGATTTGATTTCGATTCTCGCCGAGGGCTAATGTTGATCGTTTTCTCAGGCCTACTTGCGTCCTACCTGATTAGCGAAGCGTACAAATGGCACCCACTACTTCTTTCCACAGTATGTCTTCGTCGTGATTACTTTGATGATTTACCTAATCGCCATATTAAGATCCTTTCCAACAACAATTTCACTTCTCGACAAGGGGAGACAGGAGCAGGAATAACGTTAGCAGGAGGTAAGAGAGGTATTCTACAAACCTGCGATATGTATGATTGTAACTTGCATCGCAGTTCATGACGATACGCTCGAATTAACAGTCCTGTTCGATCCTGCCACGAATCTCCCTTACATCATTAGATCCTACGAAGACCACCCCTTTTTCGGCGAATCAACACATGACCTTCTCGTTCACGACTATGCTGAAGTCAACGGGGTCCAAATACCTCAACGATTCAAGACCATCTACAACGGCAAGCATCTTCTTGGAGACTATCGCGCTGATCAGACCATCATCAACGATAGTCTACCGAGCGACTTCTTTGCGGTACCGGGCAACGGGACTGTCCCCGAATCCAGCGTTCCAAATCGGAACGTTCAATACAGCTTCTCAGAGATTGGAGAAACATCTGCAAACTTCCTCTGGCCGGGTGCCTATACCGGAACAAAGGAGTCCATCGCAGCTTCGATTTCTCAGCCTCTTCAGGATCTACCTGGGTTCTGGACCATTAGCCCCGGCGGTGATCTAGGGATGCGGCAAGGTTTGGTTGAGCTTGAGGATGGGTCTGTTATTGTCTTGGATGCTCCGCCGCATCAGAGCAAGCTCGTCATTGAGTGGGTTCAGACAAATCTTGGAAAGAACATAACACATGTCTGGGTTTGTAATATTCTATCTGAGAAGCCTTTTTCTCCGGATCGCTGACCCAAGTACAACAGCCTACTCACCATCATCACGATCATGCCTTTGGTGTAGTAGACTATGTCGCACAAGGCGCAAGACTCATTGTGCCTGAGCATGCCGCGGGATACTACACTACTGTCCCTAGAGAGCAAGTAGTCTCTTATCCGTAAGTCTTCAACTCTTTTCTTCTAGTAGAATACCTCAACTAAAACTATTTTTTTCAAAGACGTGGCGGTTCCTATCTGCTCAAAGACAGCAAATTGCAGCTTGCTCTCGTTGACATGGAAGCCACTATTCACGCTGAGGACCATGGCTACGCCCTTGTTATCCCATCTTGCCCAGTTGAGACAAGCTCGTCGGCGGTTTTTGATGCGGACCATGGAAACTTGGCATTTATTGAAACGTTTGATCACGCAGCCGTGCAGGAGCTTCTCAACTCTCTCTCTCTCGACAAAGTACCAGGCAATGCGCAGTAAGTCCAACTCGACCCAGCATCTTCTCAAATGGGACCATCAGAAACTGAACAGATAGTAGCTTCTTCCCCTCGCATGGCCCTGCAGGTAATATCACAGACCTGATCAGCGTTTCCGGGTTCATGTATCCATCATTCTCTCTCAAGGAGTTTGTCCACAGCCAGACGACTTGCTGAATGCCCCATGGAGGCTAGCAATAGTTATCGAGATTCACTGAGCACAGAGGCCCTCCTGAGGAATTACTCTAGTAGGAAATTTCGTCCCTGTTATTATTCTTAAGCACCTGACGCTTGTTTATTCTGCTTCAGGAATGGCGGTTCTGTCTCACCAGCGCACCATTTGTACTTGCTTCCAGGATGATCCTCAGGTAGTCGTTTCGAGCCAATAAATACTTCTCTCGCCGTAGCTCCCTGCTTCTCAACGTCGGACCTGAAAATTCCTCGTCTGCGCAATTCAGGGAGCAGGTACTCGATGATATCCTCAAAAGTACCGGGATTGGTAACGTGCGCCAGGTTGAACCCATCCACGTCAGAAACCTCGACCCAATGCTCCAGCTCATCGGCGACTGTGGTAGGGCTACCCACTATCTTGGCACCTAGACCGCCGATACTGAGGTATTCCACAATCCTTCGCTTGGTCCAAGGGAGATTATCTGTGCCCGGGACGGTATCTGACCAACGTCGGATGATGGACTGAATCCGTGGAGAGTCTGCCACTGAGAAGTCTTCATCATCTGGATATCCAGAAAGGTCAATTCCTGTCCACCCTCCGAAGAGAGCTAGGGCACCCTCGGTGTCCGCGTATTTCAGGTACTCTTGTTTCTGCGCTTCGGCCGCCCCATCTGTCGCTGCCACAATGACGTTGATGCCGAGGATGATCTTGATGTGATTAGGATCCCTTCCCTCCTCCGCCGCAATCTTGCGTAGATTATCGACAGTCTTTCGGACACCCTCCGCAGTCTGGCCGCCGATGAAGATGGCTTCTCCATGTTTACCACCAAAGCCGTTTCCAGCTTCAGACACACCCGCCTGAAAGAGGAAGGGTGTTCGCTGAGGTGAAGGCTCAACGAAGTGCGGTCCAGGCACATCAAAGTACTTGCCCTTATGGTGGATCTGCTTGACCGCGTCACTGGCAATGTACGTCCCAGCCTCGCGATCCGCCAAGACTGCATCGTCCCTAAAGCTGCCTTCCCAGAGCTTGTAGAGAACTTCGAGGTACTCGTGTGCAATCGCGTAACGCTCATCGTGCGGGATCTGCTCCTCTAAGCCGTGGTTCCGGGCCGCACTGTCTAGGTATGAGGTGACAATGTTCCAGGCTAGTCGCCCTTCGCTCAGATGATCCACCGTCGAGAGGCGTCTCGCCAGCGAATAGGGCTTTTCGTAGGTCAAGCTTGCAGTCACTCCGAAAATGAGGTTCTTCGTGGCTTGCGCCATTGCGGGAACGAGGTACAGCGGATCGTTGACTGGGAACTGTGCTCCGGAGGCCAAGGCTGGGACAACGTTGGCCGGTCCTTTGTACACATCATAGGGTCCGAGGGTGTCGGCTATAAACATTGCGTGGAAACCGGCATTGTCTAGTAACTGGGCGAGGTCGGTCCAGAAAGAGAGCTTCTTGTATTGGTCTGTCTTGTTGCGGGGGTGTTTCCAGAGACCGGGAGCCAGGTGACCGGGCGTGTTCATGACAAAGGCATTGAGAATGAGTTGTTTCTTGTCGCTGGAACCATTCTGGTCTGTGGCAGGATTTGAGTTGTCGGCCATGATGAGACTTTTCCAAGGTCTTGGTTGTGATGTTATGTGTCTTGCAGTCTCTGATTTCTAGCGAAGACGACCCCTCAAAAACGGTTGTTTTTCCATTTGTTTCGATCAACATTGCCGGCTCCAAGTAAGTTTATGCTCTTATCTCAAGTCGAAGGAATGCCGATAGCGCGCATTCTTGTAACTGCTTTGATCCAATAGCCTTGTCGCGATGAGTTGTGGGTGGCTCGTCTGCAGATTGCATCATCGCACGCAACCGATTGCGATCTGCCAAGCTAACAAACCTCCGAGCAATTTCTCCGGCAGAATCGCTTAAATTCGAACAAAAGTCTAAAGTATGTCTTCCCTACAGATCCCACCTTACAGGCGTATGTTATCAATTCCCGGCCCGCAAGTATACTAAGTAATCGTAGTTGCCGACATGGGTTGAGTTCATAACGCAATGCGGGGCAGCTAAGATGTGACCAAGAACTGGGGCCTTTTGATACCGATCTCGGTTCGAAGTCAAGCTTCGCGGAGGTGGCTTGTGTTAAAGTAGTTCTGCTTGGCCTTGTTCAATGGATTCCAAATTCGAAGTTTGAGCCTCCGCTTTCCATCTCTTCGAGTCGCAAATCGACCTGCTCGCACGAAGGAAATTTGTAGACAAAGATCTTGTCACAATGTCGGTCCAACTAGGTGTATCAGGGGAGACCCTAATACCTCAGTCAACCAGCTATGGAATGCTCATAGGCCTTGGTATCGGTTTCTGTGGTGTCATTCTCGCAGCAGTCAAGATTCAAAAGGCCTACCTGGCAGAAGACTCTGGCACCTCCGAAATGTTCATGGTGGCCAATCGGTCGGTTGGGACAGGTTTAACAGCATCGGCCGTTTTTTCTTCCTGGATGTGGATCAATGAGACAGTCTTTTCAGCAGCATTTTGCTACAAGTTTGGCCTTGCTGTGCCTTTTGTGAGTGCAATTACATCAATGTTACGATGAGCGAAATTGTTACTGATGCTCTAAGCAGTGGTGGTCAACAGGTCTCTGCTTCCAGATAGCCTTGATGGCAGCACTCGGCGTCTTGGCAAAGATTCGAGTTCCTTACGCGCACACCTCACTTGAAATCATTCGATTAAGATACGGATGGATCGGTCACATTGTCTTCATTATCCTCAACATCACGAACAACGTTTTCGGCTGTGCTGGTATGATCCTCACCGGGTCACAACTCATCTACGGTATCTCGGGCATGCATTTTGTCGCTGCCACGATTCTCATTCCACTTGGAGGTTGGTCGCTCCAATATCTTTGAACCAAATGCAGGCATGAGTTGACATTGCCCAACTCAGTCGTACTTTACACCGCGGTTGGTGGACTGAAAGCAACCTTCATCACAGACTATCTGCACACTCTCATCGCCCTGATTCTCATCATTTACTTTACACTCAAGGTACTCACCCACGATGCTGTTGGTGGTCTTGGTGGACTGTACGACAAGGTGGTGGCCACGGCTTCAGAGAACTTGATTGACGGTAACTACAAGGGCTCTCTGCTCACGATGAAGTCTCGAGATGCGATCATTTGGGGGTTAATCTTGAAGTTTGGAAACTTGGCTCTTGTCGTAATGGTGAGTGATTGCGTGCATGTGGTCATGGATGTTGATACTAATCGAAATGGCAGGACACCGCTTTCTGGCAAAAGTCATTTGCGACGGAAGTGAACGCAACTGTTCCAGGATACAACCTGGCTGCGGTAGCAATCTTTGGTATCCCATGGGGCCTCGGTACAGTCATCGGTCTCACTGCAAGAGCACTGCACAACACTTCAATCTGGCCAGGCTACCCGCATGAATTTACATCGGCACAGGTCAACGCTGGACTTGTCATGCCGTACACCATCAAAGCTCTCATTGGCGACCAGGGCATCGACGCTTTCCTCGTCCTTGTATTCATGGCGCTAACGAGCACCGTCTCTTCATCGATGATCGCAGTCAGCAGCATCTTATCTTTTGACGTCTACAAAACGTACCTCAACCCCAAAGCATCTGATAAGAAATTGGTCCACGTCAGCCATCTTACAGTGGTTTTTCATGCCGTGTTTATTACGGCTATCTCACTTGCGTTGAACTATGGAGGCGCCGATATGACCTGGATTGGCTACTTCCGTCCGATTCTCTCATGCCCGGGCATCATTCCGCTTGGCTTGACTCTGTGCTGGTCAGGCCAGACACGCCTAGCCGCGATTGTATCCCCAATACTTGGTTTCCTCACGGGATTAGGCATCTGGCTCGGAACAGCACATGTCATTTACGGCGAGATTAACATGAACACCACAGAAGGCAGCTTACCAGCTCTTTACGGAGCAATCGGATCTTTCTTCTCGCCTGCGCTATACTCGGTGCTTCTGTCTTTATACAAACCTGAAAAGTTCGATTGGAGAAGATTTCTTGTCGCTGAGATTGCCGAAGAGAATCAGTTGAAGCAGAGCAGCGAGAAAGAGGAGGCGAACAATGACGGGAATACTTCGTCGACTTCGGAAGGAGAACCACCTGCATCTTCCCTATTTGACCCTGAAAAGTCGGGTGATTCGGAGAAGAATACCGCCGCTGCTGCAGGCGACAAGTTCCCTCCCGCGGTTTCTTCCAAAGATACCTCGCTGGCAGGTGAAGTCAACCTGGATGATGTTCGCCACCCGTTCGACGACGATACTATCAAGTTGCTGTACCGCTGGTACCGCGTCGCCTGGTACATGTTCATCGCCATCGTACTCGTTACCTTCATTCTCTGGCCAATGCCGCTGTATCGCGATTACATCTTTGAGAAGACCTTCTTCAAGAGCTGGACAACGGTGGCGATCATCTGGCAGTTCTTTGCTTTCTTCGCTGTTGTTGTATACCCTCTGTATGATGGACGTTACGAGATTGTAAGAGGCGCCAAGGGCGTTTGGCACTCGAGTAGGGACCTTCTTAAGTCTAAACAATGACTTGCGAAGCCGGAAATGCAAGAAACTTAGATCAGAATGTCTAGATACGGCCTGTGCCACTATTATTGTTATCTAAAGCTTTTCACTGGCAGTAGAATCCCAGTAACTTCGGGTGTGCAGACTCAGCTTGCGTGCTCCCGACAGACACAACCTGGCGGGCATCGAACTCTAGTATCCAGCTGGTAGATGGAAGCTTGAAATGGTCTCTAATCGTGGAGTGTTAGTGCGCTGATATTGCGAGATGGCAATCAGAGAGACTAGTTTCGACTTCCGTTAATAACAGAGCCCTGTGCTTCTACATTCGAAGAACATGGCAATTTTCTACCAGCTCTTGACATCTATGCATGTTCTCGGCGAGTACATACTAGCGCAAGTCTCAAATGTGATGCGTGTTTCGTTCAAAGATGAATCAGGCCTCATTGGTTGAAGACAAACAAGATGCAGGAGGCCGTCAACCCCGCTGTTCAAAGCAGGAGGGCGGGCAGTTACTGGCTGGCTCTTGAACATCAGGCTGCGATGATCTCCTTCAGGCTTCATTATATTCCAAATAAAGGTCTGGAATATGCGCGAAGGCATGTGATGGCATATCACAGACACCCCTATTATCTTCATCAATTGAATCAAGACCTGTGAATTATTTGTGTATTCATGTCCCCGTCATCACCAGCTTACCTGACTTCAACCATGACTGCATTTCAACACGGCTCGTCAAATGGCGGCAGCCACCGAAGATTTCGGCAGTCATGACAAAACTCCCTCGCCGATGGTAATGGAAGCTTCCACAACCGAGCCGCGGGTGTGTCGTGAACCAGACCAAGACTGGGAGCGTCCGGGCAGGCTCATTCATGACTATCTCGAAAAGAACTCTCCGGAGTTTGTCAAAGTCCGCGACTTGCGCAAGAAGGTTCGTAGGTAGTCCTCTGTGTTCGCTGGAAGAATGCTAACCACCGGCCGCGACTCGCAGTGATGGGAGAACCCTGCAGGTGACACGCTCTTCGAGAACCAGCGTCGTGTTGCCGAAAATCCTACCGATCGGGCTGCGATAGCTTTCTACGACATGATGAAGAGAATCGGCCAAGAGATGCAAAGAAACACGGGCGCCCTCAAAGTCAAAACTTCTAGCTGGGGCAAGACACAGATCCTTGACATGGGCATGGCGCCCGGCGGCTTCCTCACGACGGCCATGTATCTGAACACAGGTGCACAAGCGATGGGCTTCAGTCTTCCCGAGTTTGATGGGGGCCACAGGGTCATGATACCCAACAACCTCGATATTGATCGCAGAGACGTCGACGTCACCATGCTCGCTGCGGACATGGGCATCAATGACATTCCGGCCGATCATCCAGACTTTGCCAAGTTCCTCCCTCGCCAGTTCATGCCCGGTCAACAATTCGATCTGGTCATCTGTGGAGGAACAGTGGTGCATAAGCAAGAGCGTGCCTCGTATCGACATCAGAGTGAGTCTCAGCGACTGACCACCAGCCAGCTTGCGCTCGGCCTCGAGCGGCTCAGACCCGGCGGAACCATGGTTGTACTCTTCCACAAGATGGAGGCGTGGGGCACGGTTCGTGACCTGTACTGTGTTTCTCAGTTCTCCGATATCAAGACCTTCAAGCCGACGACTGGTCACAACAAGCGCTCCTAATTCTACATGGTGGCTACGAGAGTTCAGAGCCGAAGCCCCTTGGCCATCCAGGCTGTCTCTCGCTGGAAACACATATGGAAAGCGGCCACATTCGGGTCTGAGGAAGACTTTCATGAGGCTAGGCGCAAGAACTTGACTGATGTTGAGGAAGTACTTGATAAGTTTGGTGATCAGCTTGTGCGAAAGGGTCGGAGAATTTGGCATATCCAGGCACAGGCTCTCGAGAAGGCACCTTTTATTCAGGGAAAATACTCAACATAGTCGTGTCACAGAGAGCGGACAGAAATTGGGAGTTCTGCCTACTTTAGTACCTAGCTTGTTGCCCAGAACATCGAAAATGTCGAGCGTTTCCCTGCTCATGTTGAGGTGGCTTAATTGTTTTAGTATACTCAGAAGGCTGATGCATCAGATCTGCTGACAACCATGAAGCGAGTAAAATATGATGGACATGTCTGAACGCCGGAGCCTGGCTAAAGGTGAGATCGGGTTGGCCATCCAGGTCCTAGGAGTCCGCCCAGGCGTCGAACTATATCAAGGTCCTGCCCTTCCGGGTGTTGGACTGACAGCTTTCCATGCGCAGTATAGGTTGGTGACGGGCTTTTAGTTTTTTCATTGTGCAACGGAACAGAAAGAAAACTAAACACGCAAATACGAAAGAAAACGCAACACCAGAATGTGGATACCAAGCGCCAAACCCGGCCTCCGACCTCAAACTAATTATTCGTCACAGAGTTAATTAAAGAACCGCCCTAATCAACAATGGCGCTGTGTTCAAATTTTGCCATCGGCTCGATTGAGCAATCCGAAACCAATCGTCGAATCGCACATGGCTCTATCCATCCATCGTGGAAGGCCTTGCCCCAAGAGCTCCGGCTTATGGTACTCGAGAAGCTCCCGCCGCTGGCTAAAGAAAGACACGAGATGGCACGTTGGTCCAGCGTCTCGAAGGAATGGCAATGTTTCTTTGAAGCTGGAATTTTTCAAAGTTTGAGCATCCGGCCCTGCAGAAGAGGAATCGGTCGCATGGACCAGGTTGTGAGAGGCTACCGGATGAAGCTTGTCAGGAATATCACCCTCCTCATCGGAACAGCGGAGTTTACTGGCGCAGAATACAATCAGCGAGAGGAAGTCGATACGGTAGCGGCAATCAATGTGGTAGTAAAAAAAGCGTTAACAGCCTTGTTTTCGTTTCAGTGCTTTCGCAATGGGGAAAAGCAGCACCTGAACACTATATCGCATTGGAACTTTGTGCTGGCTCTAACGCTGACAACGACAGCATGCGCCCTTGCAACGTCTTTCATCGATCCTCTTGTCACCGAGCACAGGCGAACCGGACTGGAATTTCTTGATATCGGCGGCAGGAATGGCGGCAACGCATATGCCCAAGCTCGAAACAATGGAAGCTTTCAGTCCAACGGAGCCATTTTCATTCTCTCTTCGATTCGATATTGGAGAAGGTAACACAGCAAAACTCACGACTGCAGCGACATGGCAACTGGAGATTCCCGGGGCCGTTATCAAGCCATGGCAACAGGTCGCAGATCGCCGTGCCCTACGATTGATTTGCGATGTAGAGACTATTGAGACGGAGGAATTACACTCTAAGCTGCGACTGTTCCCAAGTATAGCAGAGTGGTAGTAAAATAAATCAAGATTCTTATGCGTCAGCATGCTTAGCTCCATAGATCCAAGAATTACCACAAAGACCAATAACGGTACACGTACCTCACAAGACGTGACAGTGGAGAGCAAGTATTTCAATCAGATCGAAACAGTTAATCTTATATCAATATGATGGCAGAAAAAGCTTCGAATAATTCCATCGCCTCTCTCTTGTAGAATTGGCAAATTTACTATTTCTAAAGACTACGAATACTTAACCGACATCACCACATCACCAAACCACCACCATGGTTACGCATCGAACGAACGGATAAGCCGGATCCGAACCGGGCGAATGTTGAACTGTCTTCCAGCAATGCATGTCTTAAAGTTCAACACCAACCACCCGAGTCAGACTAGAACGTTTCCATGTAATCTTGATGCTGCCTGATAGAGTTCCTAGAGACGACTTGGTTGGCCAGATGGTAGATGAGAGTTTGGTTTAACGCTTATGTAAGGCGAACCGGAAAGATGAGACCAGGGGCCGGGCGTCGGAGGTTCAAGATGGCAGAAGCCCGAAACGGCCGAGTGCTTTGGGGGCCGTGGGGGGCCTGGGAACTGGAGGCTGGAGCGAGCATATGATCCACTTTCTTTCTCATATTACCTGCATCCCCGTCAGTCACATTTCACTTCAGTCGCACCACGCACGCTGTGTGAGGAGGTCTTTGGAAGAAACATCCTTCACTTCACTCTACAGTCCTCACGCAAGGCCGCATCTGTCGTTCGCTACCTCGTCCGTTCTCTGGAGTCACATTCACTCGCTACACGCCACTCCCCTTCCTTGCTTCTCGGGTATTTCTTTAGCGCGCTAGCAACACGGGTAGAGTCAGACTATGTATCAGCCGTACGCAGTCAATGAGGCGCCGCGGGAACGGCCAAAGATCCTCTGCCTGCACGGAGGCGGCTCCTCAGCAGGCATCTTCCAGATTCAACTGATCAGGTTATCGCGCGTCCTCGAGCCGCGCTTCGAATTTGTCTACCTCGACGGGCCGATCGAGACGGAGGCCGGGCCGGGCGTACTCCCCGTATTCGAGGGATGCGGGCCGTACCGACGATGGGTCAGCGACGATCCCTCCATCCCCGCCGAGGAGTTCCAGCAGCAAAAAGACACGGCGATGGAGATGCTCAAGGTGTACGTGCAGCAGACGGGGCCCTACGTCGGCGTGTTGGGGTTTTCGCAGGGCGCGCGGGCGGCGTCGAGTCTGTTGATTGAGCAGCAGCGGCAGCCGTTTGTGCCGTATAACTTCTTTGGGGTGTTTCTATGCGGGACGTATCCGCCTTTTGTGCCTGACGACGTGCTGATTCGGTTGCCGACTGTTCATGTGGTGGGCTTGTTTGATCCATGGAAGCCGGCGAGCGAGATGTTGATTGAGCAGTGTTCTGAGCGGAGTACGCGCAAGGTTGTGAGGTATCCGGGCGGCCATCATCTGCCGAACGCGCCCGAGGCTATTCAGAATATTGCGAATATGGTGATTGATTTGTGGAAGGAGACAACGGGGGCGACGGCGTGATAGACGATGTGAGGGTATCGTCATCAGCGAGAGATCCGGAGGGGCTCACGACCTAGTCTCAGCACATGAGATGGGCATACCGTGGCAATTCGCGAGGGGTCAAGGCTGGGCGGCGAGACGGCCAGCATGCGGGTGATGAGGAGCACAAGCATCGATCACTTCCTCCGTCTCTTCACCATTTCTCTCATCTATGATTGTGGGGGAATGAGAGAGATGAAGAAGATGACGATGAAGAAATCAAAGAGACAGCCAATGGAGACACAAGAGGTCCTTCGGGGTCAGTCAAGTGGCTTGGTGAATGGCGGGGAATCTTGGGTCAAGACGACGACGGGTGTGAGTGAGACATCACCAGCGTCGGGATGGTCTCATTTGGAGACTGTATGCGAAGCATAACTTCGACCGAAAACGAATGAAATTGATGAGATTGGTCACTCATGCACTCATGCTATTATGTGCTGTCCACTCACAATGAGCTGATGGTGAAGATTCTCAGCTGACTGCTTCTTGAGAAAATGCGTAAAAACATTAAGTGTGAGATGGCACTTCGTCGAACATTTAAGTGAATGAGCTAAGGGCTACCATATTTCGAACTAAAGGAATTCATCATGATATTGGAGATTTGAGTGAAGAAGAAATGAAAAAAATGTCCGAGACTGAGACTGGTGGTGTGTGAGTGACGGCGGGCAGGATTCAGCTGGTGAAGCGTGGCAGCGCAGCCAACTTTCCCACACCAGTGATGTGGGGACGGCTAAAGAGAGACTAGCGTAGATCGAAGCTCCAAAGTCGCTGATTATCTCATCTGCGAACACCCAAGGCGTCGGATTGTTAGTGATCCACCTCATTCCCGGCACTGCACAGGGAATGCCCCGCTGTCGGTCGACGTCACCTGCGGCAGGAAGAGGACAAGCTCCTGTCGGACCTTCTCTCTGGTGCCAACAACAAAAACAGGGAACCCGGCCGCGCGGAGAGGAGACGAGAATGCGACGGCCGCTGCTGCACCTCCTCAGAGTCAGGAGCCGAACCTAGGATTTTTCTCCTGTTTCTTGATCCTTTGGCTTTTTGATCAATTGCCAGCTTCGATCCAGGAAGTCATCTCCTGTGAGCTCTTGTCAATTAGTTTTCGTTGCTCGACACCTGCTTCCACGATCCGATCGCGTCGATTCCTTCGATTGATCGACTATTCGTTCAAACGGACAGAGCGTTACGTGAAATTGTTCCTGATTCCTGAAAAAACGAAGCAATCGCGGTTGTCATGGCCAACTTCAACTGGGTGTCTCGTTTGCTGGGGTGGGATAGGCATCCACGCCATCATCACGACTTCCACTCGGACTGGATCCGCGATGACCGAAGACGCCGTACGTACTCCTGCTAATCGCTCCCCTCTTCCTTTGGAACGCCTGGCTGTACCAACTCCAGCCGCGTTGTCCTTCGGCACGCCATGGAACCTCCTCAATCAGTTTCAACAGCTTACACTTGGGCCTGTTACCCCCATCTAGTCCTGCCGCAATATCGAAGCGAGCATCTCGAGTCCGCGATCCCTGCCCCCGAAGTAACAAAGATTGCCCTCAAGCTTCGACACCTGATTGAGCTGGCAGTCCCCTGCGAATTGGACGAAGTCGAGATCACAAAGGCGCATAGCAAGATCATCACGACCAAGGTCGTCAAAGCCGCCAAGGAAGCTGGCGGCTCGCACTACGGATCATGTGTTGTCTTCTGCTTGATTGTCTGCAAGAGATGGTTCAAGCACCAGGCCTTGGCTGAGCTCTGGGACGCCGACCTACACAGAGTGCGCGCCGTCGCTTGTGAGGTCATTGCGAAGCAGATGTATGTACTTATAACGCCGCTGTCCAGAGAAGACACCCAGGAGACTAACAGCTGTATACAGCATCGAAACCGAAGACGACCTTCAATACCTAATGCACTCCGTTCTCCTCCGCCGATACTCTGTAGTTGTGGACGGCGAAGCCACACCGCCCGCGAACGCTATCGAAAAGGCCGTCGATCTCCACGCCGTCAGAGTCATTGGCTCTTCGGGATACCAAAAATGCATTTCATACTTGTGGAAGGGATGGCTGGTCCAGGACGAAGACGACCCTGCAGTATTCGTCGACTACAAGGACAAGACGAATCCGTCCTTCCTCGTGCACATGGATCCCGACCGCATCCGTGCTCCCATGTACCAGAATGCCACTCAGGTGCTCATCTCCCTCATCTACATTGGTCTCTACACTGCCGTTATCAACTCGGTCAACGCCAAGGGTGTTTTGGACGCGGCTGAGGTGTTGTTGTACATCTTCACCCTCGGCTTTATCTGCGAGGAGGTCACCAAGTTCTGGAAGGCCGGCTACCACATTCTGGGTTTCTGGAACGCATTCAATGGTGTTCTCTACACCTTCATCACGTTGTCCCTGATTCTTCGCATCATCGGCCTTACCCACGACGAGGGTGAACCCGCGCGGAAAATGTACAGTGAACTGAGCTACAACTTCTTGGCTTTCAGCGCACCCATGATTTGGTCTCGCCTTTTGCTTTATCTCGACAGCTTCCGCTTCTTTGGAGCTATGCTAGTCGTGCTAAAGGTCATGATGAAGGAGTCAATCATCTTCTTCGCCTTGCTTGCTGTGTTGATCATTGGATTCCTCCAGGCCTTTATTGGTCTCGACTTGGCGGACGACTTGGTGGCTGATGATATAACATTCATCATGTCAGCCATGGCTAACGCCATCATGCAGAGCCCTGACTTTGACGGATTCGACAGGTTCTCGCCGCCGTTCGGTATCATCCTGTACTACTGCTTCACGTTCATTGTCATGGTAAGTCGTGGTCCTATAAGAGGATGGGACCAGTCGCTGATTTGGATCGCAGGTCGTTTTGCTCAACATCCTCATTGCGCTGTACAACTCCGCATACGAAGACATTTACGACAACGCCAACGACGAGTATCTCGCGCTGTTTGCCCAGAAGACGATGCAATTCGTCCGTGCCCCCGACGAAAACGTCTACATCCCGCCATTCAACCTCATTGAAATGATTGTCATTTGCCTCTTCTGGTGGATGGAGAAATCCAAGTTCGAGAAGATGAGCGACGTTATCATGGGAATCCTCTACTCGCCGGTCCTAGTTGTCGCCGCAATCTTCGAGACTCGCTCAGCCGCCGACATCAGGAGCAACCGAGCGAGAGGTGAGGAAGACGACGACACAATCGAGGAGTGGGAGCAGATGATGGACCAGGTCGACTTCGAATCCGATGGATGGAACAAGGTCTGCGCAAGCGCCAAGACCAACTTGGAGCACGATCCTACGATCTACGAGGTGCAGCAGTTGCGAAGCGAAGTTGAAGAGCTCAAGAAAATGTTGGTCGAGATCTCCAAGGCCGTTTCGGCTGGAAATGCCGGTAACGGTCAGGCTTCGACCAACTTGATTGATCTGGGAGAGCCAGCCGAGAGCTCTTCCAGCAAGAAGAAGAATAAGAAGAAGGGCAAGAAGAACAAGAAGGAGAAGAAGGCAGGCGATGACACCAAAGAAGCAGCAGCGGCAGCGTCCTCCAGCTCGAGCGATGAAGAGTGAAGAGCTTTCATCTGATGATTCTGGCAGTGCTGGGACCCTGCGCCGTGTGTTTTATTGAATTGAGTTTGTACATGTCATGGCTGTCACGTCATGTCACGCTGTTACGAGCTTGTTTTGTTTCGATTTCGGGAACCATGGTTATTGGTAGCTGGCAACTTGGGATACGAGTCAGGGAGATATTGGCGTCGGACATCAGTCATGGTTTGTAATAAGGCGAGGCATCGTGTTGAATAAGGCAAATCCAATTACCAATTTCGACGACTCCAGTGGAAACGCGCACCAGGACAGGTTAGATTGTGTGAGCAATGGCAACACATGGGAAGCGATTGAATCTCCGTGATCGGCTCCGGTGCGATGGTTCAGCCGAGAACTTGTGGCTCGACATGCAGAAGGGCCCCATTATCGTCACTTGGCGGTCATTTTCTGCATCTACTACATGTACGAGGCACAAGTGCAAGCGCTTGGGGGAGTGAGTTGTCCCGGTTGCCGGCTCGGGTGCTAGGCGAGGGTGGCTGTGGTGCAGAGAAAATGCGGAGGAGATGGGAGTTTTTGTTGACCCGCCTGCAGAAGAACATTAGGAGAACCTTAATTTTGGGTGCTTGGGATGGGATGAGTCTTCTTTTGACCTCCCCAGCTGGGAATAACGGCGTGGGGAAAGCTGACTTTGGTGTTGGCTCTAAACAGGGGCTTGGGCTTGTGTCGTTTATGGGTGCGCAGCTTGATGGGCTTCTGGTTTATGGATTACAATCGAGGCTGAAATTCACTTCTTCTCTTCTTCATAATTCATGCCCTCTCATATGGTATGAAAGTAGTCAAATTATCCTCCTCAATCCCGAAAGATGAACCCCTGGATGAGGATAAGGAGGGGGAGAGTGAAGGGCTGGGACGAGCGGCATCTTCAAGCTCAAGACGTTTTAAACTTTTGCGGCGCCAACAGAGCCTAAGACGGGCCCCGGTCCAATCATCACCCCGGATGATGGTCGCGACAGGGTTATGCTGCCACCCCAACTCTGGGAATGGAACGCTCGGCACTCGAAGCGAGAAACGCCAAACGTTGTTCTGGGGAGGCCACTAATGAGCTAGTGTGTATTCGCTGGGTACTTTGTTAGAATTGGATAATAGAGACTTGAGGTAGATACATGGAAGGGGGAGAAAGTGAAAGGGGATTAAGCTTGCCGTACCTACCGGTAATCCTTGGACGACCACAACTCCCCTCCTATCATCCAAGATCCCCCTGTTTCCGTTTGGGATGAACGAGGTTTGGCCATTGTTTCTGGTCTGGCTTGGTTGTAGACGTGAATGGTTGGTTCGGTCGAGGGGGCTGCTTACTGGCTGACCAGCGACCAGCTTTCCTAGGCGGAACACGGCTTTAGCGGCTACTTATGGGGGCTGAAAATGATACAATCCTGTTGTGTCTTTTGTCAACATTTTTGCACGTTGGATAATGTACTGCTCCCTGGCGCTTACACCACAGCGGGCCTGGGGGTCACGACTATTCGAAACATGATCCGAACATTGGCGCGGGAAGGACGGGACATGTACAGCGGCTGTGTTGGATCCCGGTAGACAGTCATTTTTTTTTTGGCTGTATGGCTACAGCAGAACCAGCTGGGCACATACTGAGACTTGCTGTCATCCAATCCGTGGAAGGCCTCGTTGGCTTGTCATGCTAAAGTTGGAGGCGTCCTTGTCCGCCTCCGTGAGGACCCCATGCTATTGTCCTAATTTAGGTCGAATTTGGCTTAGGGTCAACTCTTCTAGACCATGTAGGTTGGTAATGTCGCTGATGCCGCGGCCACTGTCAGCCCAAAAGAAGACAAGAAGAAAAGCTTGGACTGAAAATAGACTTATTCGCATTCAGACGAGAGACCTCTCCTCTCTCATCTTCCCTCCCATGCCCACCTCGTCCAGGATCAGCATGCGTCAGGAAAATGCTTGGCCTGCACGCTTGTTCGTATTTGTTCCCACAACCACTCCCCTGATCCCTGGCCCTTGGCTCTGGCTCTCTGACTGCTGCCACCTCGGATGTCAGATACACCCGGCCGGCTGGGGCGCGGGTTTGGGAATGGAGACCATGCCACCATGGAAACTATCCCATCCGCGAGGCGGAGCTTAATTGTGATTACCTCACGCTACTTGAGGGGCTACCGCCTAGCCGAATTTTGTTTCTTCTCGTCTTGGTAGGTAAGTCGAGGTGGGGTCTGGTGCCCAAGGGTCAATTTGCTTCCGAGACGGATTTGCTGAAGGAGGCCGCCGCCACATGGTTTGGGGACCAAGGCTTGGGAGTGATGGGATCAAACGTGGATGGTGCCTGGGGGAGGTGGAGGGGTGTAGGCTTGAGGATGGAGGCTTGGGATGTTCCAAGGGGTGTAAACCGTTTGAGGGTGGTGTTTAGTGTTGTTTCTTGGGGATCTATCATCTCGAGCTGAAGGCTGCAAGAGGATCTACGTGTATAAGAAGACAACGTCCCTCCCGTGAGATTTGGGTTTGGCTCATCATCAAACAAAACAAGTCTTCCCATAGTACACCAGCAAGCATCAACTACTCTACTTGACACCACCTAGCCCATTTTACAACCTCACAAACTCACCCAAAATGCATACGTCAACCCTCCTCGCAACCCTCCTCCCCGCGGCAGGAGCCTTCGCTCAATACGGCTACGGCGCACAAGAATCCTCCACAAACACCGCCTCCGCCGCCGCCTCCTCCTCCTCCAGCATTGCCGGCGTCCACGTCGTCAAGGTCGGCGACGGTGGCCTCACCTTTGAGCCCAACAGCATCACCGCCGCCGTCGGCGAGGTCGTCGAGTTCCACTTTTACCCCCGCGCCCACTCCGTCGCCCAGTCCGCCTTTGACTCGCCATGCCAGCCGCTGACAAACGGGTCCACGACGGGCTTCTTCAGTGGTCCGGTTCAGGTTGCGTCTGGTGTTGGGTCCGAGGTGTTTACTGTTGAGGTCAAGGATACGAATCCTAAGTGGTTTTACTGTGCTACTGGCCAGCATTGCCAGGGTGGTATGGTTGGTGTTATCAACGCTCCGTAAGTTCAAGTCTCCATTCAGAGGTATGAAGCCAAACTTGCTAATCTTATTGATAGTGCCAGCGGTGCAAGGACGATTGAGCAATATGCCCAGGCCGCGGCGGCGGCGCAGTCCAACGTCGCTCCCAGCGCGACTGGAGGTGGTACCCTCGGCTCCGCGGCCACTGGCAGCCCCAGCTCTGCCTCAAGCTCTCCCTCTGCTTCATCCTCGTCGCAGCCCAGCGCTGGTATCGAGGCCCGTGGCGACGTCCGCTGGGGTCTGCTCAGCTTGGGCATGGCTGCCGCTGGTGTTGTGGGTGGACTTCTCATCTAATGTCCTGCGGGGTGGTTTTGTTTTGACTAGGCGGAGAAAGGCTGGGAAAGATTGCGGGATCACGTTTATACCAATTATGCATTGACGGCTGGGTTTTATCAAAAAAGACAAAGGGTTGTGTTGGATAGTTGCAAAGCCTGGAGCTTCTTTCTATTGAATGGAATGGGCGGTTCGCCCACTTCTTCGATATACCTAAGGTAGTACCCTACTGCGTGTTTGCTACTTATGACAACTTGATTTTTAAACAACAAAAAACTGCACACATAGTGTGTATTATTATGCTAGTGCCGATTAGATTGCAGGGTTATGCAAGTAGAGGTTGCAGGCGTCTTCCTCATTCGTCGTGTTTACACCTTTCAAAAGAATCTCTTTAGGCTTTCGTTTTCTCACTTAGCCCTCTCACGAACGTTACTCTATGGCAATAGTTCATATTACGCAAATCATGCGGTCTTTCATGTTGTGGTTCTCTCATGTACAAACGTAGGATCTAGGTGTATATTCACCATACTCAGTACTCCTATGCTATCATGGCGGTATCTGCTGGATCGTGAAGCAGCGATTTCAATCTATCTAACCGATAAGAGTCCATCGACCCGTAGGATTCAGATCTCACTCTACATCAGTTTGCAATTCGAAAGCTGCATTGTGAGAGCCTTTTCCCCTTTCGCTTCACATGCGCCCTGGGTCACTTCGTGTGGCATCCGAATCCTTGGCTGAAGATTAACTTTTATCTCTAGGGCAGGCTTCCTTGCAACTAACCTGGTACTAAAGAAATGAGGTCTTGTGACTGGAATACCATCCAGTCTCGTCCGCCACTTTATATTCATAGAATATCGGTACATTATCCCGAAGAACCTCGTCTAAGTAGACCCACATACCGTTGTGTGTGTCGAATCCGCAGACGACTACGACCTTCTGACCCTTCGAACTCCCATAGGCGTCGACTCACAAATCTGTATGTATCAGGGTCCCAGTAGGCTCTGCTGGCTGCTTGAGAGATGACGCGCACTATCAACTTCGGTTTCTCGGTGTCGAAGGAAAACCTGAAGTCCCGGCCCGGAATCCGCACAGTTTCCTCCAACAAATCTGCAGTAAACTGCTTAGAGATGAAAAGAATCTTCTTTTCGAGTGGCCGACTATTATTCTCAGAATGCTAACGCGCAGCTCGTCCGGCCCCGCCCTGACAAAGATATCACCATTGAGCTTACAAAGCAGGATGCCCAAAAAATCAGACTTGGATTTCGCGTTTCTTGGAATTCCCAGGCTAAGCAAGTACGTGTCTTCGCCGACTTTATCATGTGTAAGGAGCCTGGATTCCATTCGTACCCCATGTTCGTCATGGAAAACTACACATAGCGGCGTGGACAAATTAACATCGCACTCTCTTGCAGAAGTCTTTAGTGGTTTCCAACAAACCTCTGGGCCACGTCTTAGATCGCTTAGGGATGTTAGATCGCGACAATCGCGGAGATGATCCGGAGTAGTGGTGAGGATGCCGCGAAACTCTGCCGAGCCATCTGGAGAAGTGACGGTGGAGTCGCACCAAGCGAACAGTGACATGTCGTTGGTCTCCTTGATGATTTCTTCCTGTAATCGGAGGAAGCCTCGGTCGCCTTCCCCGTAGAGCAAAGGCATACTGACGCCAAAGATACCCAAGAGTGAATAGGCACGGTCTTCCTCTTTCTTTGCTCGACGATCGGCGGCCCAGGACATGCGCCGGCCGACCGGAATACCAGCCAGAAGGCTTTGAATGCTTCGGCGTGTTGATGAGTCATGTCTCAAGATTTCAGCGTTGATGGATGTTCGTAGTTGTATTTGTTGTGAAAGGTCTACTCGGCTACCAATCGTACTCCAATGCTTGTCGTAAAATTCCATTCTGCCCGGAGCGATGAGCTCCTGCAGGATCCAACCTCTCGTGAACCACACGGATTTCGTTAAATCGCCCCCTGAATCGACATCCGAGAGGTACGCGAAGCAAATTTCCGCCTCTGCATACCACTTGAACATTGAGTTGATGGCTTCAGTAAGCTCGGTGAGGTTTCGCTTATCGACACAGCAAGTGTCTATCCAAGCGTATGCGATCCCGATCCTGAGTGCCTCGGTGCAAGTTTTCTCGATCTTCGACCATCCAAGCAAGTTTTTGGTCCTCATGTCGGCACTGGCTATGTCTTCGAAGGTGACCTCATCCTCATCGCTCTCCCATCTATGAGAAAGGATAGCGTAGGCTGTTGAAACCCCCTGCTCTTCGAGTTTCTGCTTTCTTGCCGGATGCATATCCTCGATGCGAAGGGTGGAGCAGTTAAGAAGCTTCATCGTGACGCCGCGCGAGGAATGATGAGTAGGAAAACTGACGACTGTCAGATATTGTTGGTTCCCAACCGCTCAGATAGCAGTGGCTCAGCATTTTTAAGCAGCATCTCAAGCGGAACTTGATGTGGAACCAGCCTTTAAGGGGTGTAATTGACAGGTAAGCCAAATCAGCAGGATACGAGGCAACGAGGCAACGAGGCAGGACCAGCAGCTGTGTGTCATATCCCACACATGCTAGCCTATCAAACCTGTAGAATATGTGACACCTTAATCTGAGTGCGCACACGCGACGAAAATCTCACCAGTGGCTGAACGCGCCGTATCGCTCTCATCATTTTGTCCAACGCCACAGGTGCTAAGAATAAATTTCGAGGTGAAAATGACACGTTGGGGAACTAGAGCTTAGATATGCGATTCTCATTGAAGAACTCGCCAAATCTGTATGCTCACTCGATCATTTTATGAGTTCTGCCGACGAACAAAGTGAACGAATGCACACGGGTTCTTTAGGGGCACGCATATTCAAAGGGTTTGATGACTCGAATTAGTCCTTGCAGTAAGTAAGTAAAAACAACATTCACATAGAATCAAGCTTATTTGAATCAGCAAGCGAAGTCTTGATTGAGTACTTCAAGGGAATGTCTTCTGTTACGAGTAATAGTACAAATTAGAACAACAAACACATCAAGCCTGGCTTCAGCTTGAAATCGGAGAGAACTGTTCTCAAAACATTGAAGCACAGAAATCGTAAACAGTCACTCATGCAAACACATGGAGTAGGCACCTTCTGACTTGTGAAACTCAACATTTATGTCAATATTTGTGCTGTATGTTGAGTCCGTAGATGCCGAACCGAATGTCGTGACCGATCCCGAAGTCATGTATTTACCCACATTAACACAACCTTTCGATCTTGTAGCATCTGAGCTTGTCTTCGAAGCATGGTCTTCCACAAAAGTCTCGTTCAAGTTGGCATCGAGGCTGTTCTGTATAGGATCCCTGGGACCTCCACTCGCCTTCCAAGCCAATGAATGGCCGACTTAAACGTTGTTAGAATAATAGTAAAAAGAAAGGGAAGAGAAAGCTTGGAATCAAGTACAGGAGAACCTGATAACTTTTGGGCTCACAATTTCTTTCTAACTCGCCGTGCACTTTCCAGGAGCATAATATCCGCATCGAATCGCATAGTTGCCAATCTTGTCAGGGATGTCGTAGTCTTTGGTCGAACTCCTAGCTCCCCGACATATGCCACATCTGAAGTTCGGGTTGGTTGCCGAGTTGGAGATATTCGACTCTTTGTCCTCCATCGTACCGCCAATGTCGTTTTTGCAATACCACTGGGCGTTGGAAGCAGGGATGGAAGCCATGAAGGGATCCGAGACGGTAGAGTCGTAGAAGAAAGCACAGTCCTTGGCCGCAGAGCCAGCAACCAAAGCCGCCATAATTAAAGTTGCCCAGTTCTGCATGATTGGGACGACAATGATAGCTTCGCGTGGTGGTTATGAGTCGAGCGGCGAGGGGGTGGGTTACAAGGCATTGATTGGACCGGTTGACCTAGGATCGCAAAACTGTCATGCGGTTGGCCATACCATACTTTAATAACTGGTCTTCAATAACTCTTTGTGCCAAGATCTCGTAGCCGCCGTACGCTGACTCAAGATGCCCGTCGTCGCATCGTTTCAGGGAGGATATGATTGTCTTCTAATTCATATATCTAGTATTACAACCCTCGGCAAAGAGGAGCAATGTCATCTAAAAGAGTTTGTGAATTAGTAATCACGAGTCAGATGTGGTCCACCTAGTAATAAACAATGCCTTAAACAAGTATTGATCAACAAGTATTGAACTGCATCGCGCTTGGGAGCATCCAAAAGCCTCCATAGACCGACTTTTAGTGGGAAGACCTGGGAGGTGAATGCTAGCCATTAGGCCTCCAAAGTGTGCTAGTTCTTTTGCACGAGCGAAGCAAGAGAAATAGCTTTGCAGTACTTCGTTCTCACGAAAGCGTTGATGGGAACGGCTCGTCCGCCAAGAGCGCAAAACTGGCGACTCGCATTGCATACCCGCCAACTAATATGCAGGCATTGGATTCCATTTCAATTGATTAGCCTTTCCGCATAGACTCCCTTGAGCGGTGTTTTGCGAAAGAAAGTGTGCTAAGTAAAGTAGTCTCTTCACTCTTCCGTAGGACTCAAGGAATATGTCAAACACCCAATATCCCGCGTTCCAGCAACACCTCCATTGATACCTGTCGGTCCGAGTTAGAAATGACATGAAGGCCACCCATTTGGTTTATGATAGGATTCCGTGACAATCGCGAACTTACAATCGGTCCAAAGTTGGTAGAATAATTGGCGACATCCAATTGTACCCCCACCCCAAGGTTCCTTGGGATTCTGCTCCGTTACGGCAGGCGAGCACTGTTTTCTCCAAGCCACGGAATACTTCAGCTTCGCGGCATTGAAATACTTCGAGTAGTAGATCCGGGTTATTGCCTCATGTCCGGGTGTCACGACATCAGGTAAGACCTCATTGCACATAGCCTTGAGTCCCTGCTTGACTGTCACTTCGTGGACATCTTTGTGCTTCGGAAAGTCGCCCTCGCTGTTGCAACGCAGTTCGCCTTTACGAGGGGCCGTGTTGGTGATTTGGTATGAGTACGTCCCGCAACCAGCATCGTATTGGCCCTTTTCGGCCACGACGTTGCCTTCGCCTCCCGTGTGTCCGCCTAACGTGTTTTAGTCAATGCCATCCAATGAAGATTGGAGATTGGGAGATGGCATGGACTCACATGTGTTCGCAACTGTTTTGTATGCGTCTAGGCAGCTTTTCTGGCAAGAGCCTGCGTCAAATACCTTGTTTGGTTTCCAATCGAGATTCACGATGTAGCCCTTGTACGGGTCGAGTGTGACTGGCGGAGTTCGGGCCTGCAGCTTGGCTTCCTGATTGTTGCCACTTATGTCGACAACCCATGAAAGCGCTTGTGAAGCCAGGGCGTCGACTTCCTGGCAGAATTTTGCTGCCACGTTGTACTTTGACCCTGCAAACGCATCCCATTGAATCTCGGCAGGTTTATCCATGGCGCAACTTGGGTTGGCAGATGGGGTCAAAGTCGTCGTCGGGACTCCAGTCTCTCCTGGTGGAGGTACCCACGCCTTCGTCGTTACTGTGGTAATGGGCGTTGATGTCTGACTCCCTGCATCCGTTCGGCATCCGGACACGGCTCCACACGATGTTTCGCAATATTGAAACATAATGCCAACGCCCTCACACGAGGCCTGACATGCAGTACTTCGTGAACATCCAGACATGGTGGTTGCTGTGGCTGAGGCGGGTGGTGTGGTGATGGTGCCCGACATGAGCTTTTGCTTGATCGGATTCTTGTCCCCCAGGGGTAGGTTTTCAATCAGGGTGTTGTAAGCCATCATGAAGACAACTTCGCCAATGCCCTGCGCGACGCTTTCCCCGATATTCATCAGGGGGGCGAAGTCTCTTACAAACTCAGTGACGACAAGGGCGGCATTGGCGACATTTCCAGCCGTAAATGGTAAGTTTGGGGGATTCATGAGAAGGAGGTCTTCCAGTGGACCACCAGGAGTTGCCATGCCGATGGCCCCTTGAGCACCACATATGGCGGCTCCAAACTGAGCAGCCCGTTTTCCATTGGCATCACTGTCGAACTGCCTGCCATCAAGGCAGTCGGTAGACCTTCGTATAATTTCTTCGAGCCGTTTGGCTAGTCCTTCGTCCATGGTGACCATCAGATCCCCTGGGGTATAACCGGCAATAGCGGTGGCAATGGGCGTGATCAAAGGTGTTGCAGTACTACATATCGCTTCGTCAGCACAATCCTATGTGTAGGGTAGCATATCTCAAGACGAAATTTCCTGGAGACTTACCCTTCTGGTCTGGTTGGATCCGGCACAGGGGTGAGTGTAGCAACGCCCTTACCTTCTGCAGATAATATGATTGTTTTGGTGTCCGCAAGATCGGCCGCGTTACTGGCCTGCGTATCAGGAATTATACGGTCCGCAAACTGAATGGTTGGCTGCTCGGCATGCTTCAAGCTCCAGGCCGAAAGAAGCAACATAGCGATTGTTGTGAACGCGGAGCCCTTTGACTTGAAAGTCTTTGAGAGGAAATGCCCAAAATGGCGACGTTCGATTTCGGCATCGATCACAAAGTTGGCTGTTTGGATTGCCTCTCGTACGTCTTGGTAACACTTGTCATCAGTCTTTTCGCAGCCGATCAACGTCTTCCGGACTTCGGCCTGAGTATCAGGTGACAGGGCAACATGGAACCCTGCACCCTCTTTGCCCGACATCCAGATCACTTTACCACTGAGATCCGGAAGTTTTCCCTTTGAAGGAAATAAAATATCAGCTCTCTTAGTTGGACCGGGGAACAGCAGTGGTACTCACATTTCCTTGATATTGACTGAGTTGTCCAAGATCGAAAACCTTTCCCTCTTGGGCTACAGCCAAGACTGCTGCAATGATGCAGGTGAAGAGACAACGGAAGACTGCGGAGCCCATATCAAAGAAATCTCTGGATAGAACCAAGATCTGAAAGTTATTCTTTGCGGTGGAATTGTGATGAGAAAGAGGTTTTCTAGCGATGCTTTACAAAATGCTGGTGGTCTGTCTTCATTGACTAACGTACTTTTGAATTCTGCACGACTTCAGAGGAGATGGAAGTGCGAGTATTTATGTCTTCCCCATCTCACCCCGTCTTTGAAATTGAAGAAACCCATCCTTGATCTCCGGAGGACTTCTTCCATACGTTCACAACTTCAAGCCGGTGGTGAGCTGTTGGCTTTGGGGCTGCCCCAAAACCCCCACACGACGGTTTTTGGGATAAAGCTCAATAATCACGATGCGGGACTATCATTCTGACGCTTTTGTTGGAGTTGCCGGCTGGCGAAGCATGGGCCAAACTCTCAACTTCACATTGTGCTATTTCAGTTGACCCTACCCACCGAGTTTGAGCAATGGTCAGTCGATTGTTGGTACAAAAATGGTGCCTGTGCATATCACTGCCTGTTGGGGGCGAATGATTGGAACCTAGCTCTGCTGCATTACTTGGTTTGGATTCATGTCAGTTGGTTTCGTTTGACTGCTAGCTAAAAGCGGCTCACGAGCTAAATGTATCTGCCAACCCTGAGTATGTATCTCTACAAATAGCCAATTCGAATGGAGACATAGATTGCCCAGCTTTGGGGGCCCAACTAAACCAAGAATGACCAAGCATGGCCCCCATTGCCTGAACCGCGGCCAACGTGCGGGCGGCTTGTTTGGGGTACAAATACGTGGTTGGTGCCCTCACTTCATGTTCCAACACCAGCTTTGTACCCAAACAACAGACCACGATCCAACTTTTCATTTCCCCCCGACACGACCAAAAGGCAGTTCGCCGCCCAGAGACGGAGATGACGGGCAACCCCAAACAGAGCTCCATTGAAGCGTGCAGGAACGGCGACTTGCCACTGGCTAAAAGCATTATGCAGGACCACAACGACTTCAAGGCACAGCAAGAGTCTTATGTGTATCCTGACACTTTGATAAAGCACGCCGTTGACGAGGCAGCGTGGAAGAATCACGCGCCTATTGTCGCCTTCCTACTCGATAACGGAGCTAGTATCACCAATTCAGTTGTCCTTGCGGTATCTAAGAGTCGCGACAAACCGATGTTGGAGGAAATCCTCAAAAGAGGGTTCGACATCAACACAGTGGAACCAGGCGCGACCTTGCTCAGGTGTGTGGCCCCCATCGTGCCAGGTTGTGAGGGGCATTATACTCATCTTCTCAAATAGGCTATCCACGGGACATACTGAGTGGATGGAGGTACTGTTACAGCATGGAGCAGACCCCAATGTCAAAGATTCGAGGGGACGGACAGCGCTTCACTCCGCCGTGATCAAGCCATCGTTGCAACCCTGTCAGCTCCTGCTTGACCATGGAGCCACGTTGCCACGAGATATACTTCAGTCTGCGATAGGTTTCAAAGGTGCAAGCATGGATATGGTTAAATATCTCATTGAGAAGGGGGCTGATCTCAACTATGTCCGAAACATCAAGACAGGCTACAAGATCTGGCAAGGGACCCCTCTACATGTCGCGGCCGGTACCAATCGACTTGACATCGCCCAGCTTCTGTTGAGTGCGGGAGCCGATCCCGGCATCAAGTATTGGGACAATACGCCGGCCGACACGGCCAAAGAGTTTGACTACATGGAGATGCATAATCTGCTGAAAGCGGATGCAGCCCCTGATGGATTCTCCCCTTGATGGGCCGGGTCAAGCGGGATGGATAGCCTGCCCAACAAGCCCCCACGCATAAGGATAGAATCGCTCGCCAAGATGACCTCGGGGGGCCTTACAAGTTACTTATGTACGTACCTCATCAGGTACTCAGCTTCCGGACCGGAAGGATGTTCTACGACCTCTTCTTCGACTTATAAATTACAACGCGCACTCTACTCGAGAGTGCTTGGTTTTGTTATACGAAATCATCTTTTCATTGACATCATATGATCACAACATCCGAGTCTTATCATTTCGGATGCAACTCAGGCTCTGTTGTGTTCTTTGCAAGTACCTCACATAAACACCCAAAAGCTCACACACGCAAATATCTTCACGGGACTAGTGATTATCATTAGAAGACCCCATCACTCCAAAATGTCCCCAAAGGCCTTTGTTCCGCTCCTTTTGCCACTCCTGCTTCTAGCAGCGGTGGTGGTAAGCGCTTTTCCATCGGCATGGCCACTTCGTATGTTTTCCGCAAAAGCTTATCTTGTCACCTTGAATATCTCATAACTCGGGCTGACTTTAAATATTAGATTCTCATGCTATGAGACCATCGTTAGTAGAATGGTCTCGCTCTACCACTCCTCGAGGCAATTTCAACTCTATCACCCAAACCCAACAGCGCGATGAGAATCAGGATCCCCAAAATACCTGTAACCCATTTTCCATGCTTAAGAACATCCATGGGCCGGTTGAGAGACTTCGTGCTGAAGGACAGAATCTCACCTTGGCCAGAAGAGTCGATATCGCATTTCCTGGTGACAACATAGACCAGTGGATGATAGCCCAGGTCCAAAAAACGAAACCTATTGTGTGGGAAGTCACTCCGGGAACCGATGCCAATACAGCAGTTTTCCGGAAGTTTGGCAGGAATGCCTTCAGTCTTGGAACAAACGGCCTGTGTGGATGCAGTTCACTTTGGATCATCAGCAGAAAAGGGGTTTATGCCACTCACTATTGGGAGAGTATTTCGTTTGCGCCTGAGAAAGAATGGAGGAACCCAGGCGAAACCGATTCTCAGGTGTTTGAACGTCCTGTCATCGACGGTCTCAAAAGCGGCAACGTTGTCAGAGGCAGAAGAATGCAGGCCAGGCTCGACCGAGATGAGATTGCTGACGATTATATCAAGGCCTACCTCGTTCATCCTGAGCGATCATGGCAAAATACCCCCGCCGCAGTTGATGGGTATCGATTGCAATGGAACAAGATCAAAGACACAGTGAAGGAAATCATACCGGAACTGGCGCCAGATAATAATTGGCAAGAGGTCATTTATAATCGATTGAATGACGACGATGAACAGCTATTTGATACTGCCCTGGGTCATGTGGTGTTCCACTTTTCGCCTGATCATGAACAGAAACGGAAGGCTGCTTTGTGGGTTGAGAGACGCAAGGAACCTTACCATGATGATGACTGGGAATAGAGTTGTGGAATACCTACATCTGAAGCGAGAATTTGTGAGGTCCAACGACTGGAGGGTCAACACAGACTGGCATGATTGAGATGACAAGGGGAGAAGGACTGAGTTTGAATATCCGCTACTTATCATCGTGGCTCATTTCATCCTGTCTAATGTTTTCATGGGTGGTAGCTCGAGCTGTTTTACTTGTTTTCTTTCGTCTTTTCTGGAACATCTAGAAACTCATTTGTAAGAACGACAAAGACATGTTTCATCGAACTCCCGACGATGAAGACATATTTCTCAGATCGCGAGTTGAATGATGGCGGTTTTAGACAGTCTCCGGAGCAGCTTATTCCTGACAAATTGCCTTGTCAGACTAGGGTGCACTACCCTGATGACTATCTCATAAGCCTTTCTCGTAATGAGGATTTCTACCGGAAGCAGAATCTCGATTGAGATTCAGGGCGCTAATAGGTTTGAGGGAAGAGTTCATAGTGAGTTGCACTTTTCCCGAGTGAAGGTTCGAATGCCTAAGTAACTACTTTACAGATGAAATTTGCTTATCTAGACCCTATGCCCCTCATTACCTCCCATTCACTTTCTAGGATTCCATAGCTGATCATATCATACCATTGTCTATCAAACCAATAAGACTCACGGCTACGGCCTTCTTCCACGAAACCAAGCTTCTTGTATAAGTGCTGCGCTCGCTCATTGTAGGAGACAGTGCCAAGGTGAACCCGATGGTAGTTTCCATACCGGAAGGCCCAGTCGAGAGCCCAGTTGATAACCTCGGTTCCGTAGCCCTTTCCTTGATACTGTGGTGCTATTGCGATCCCGAGGCCGACTGAGCGGTGATGGGCCATTGCCGGAGGAATCCCACCCCAGCCGATCGCTAGGTATCCTATGGGCTTTGGCGCAGCCGTCTTCGCTTCGTCAACTTCCTCGTCGCCGTCGCCAGAAGTATCTGCTGGAAGGCAGACCATGACAGAGAGAACAGATTTGGCCATTTGCTCAACCATCCACTCGCTATGCTTACTGGTCCTTGGCATCAGCGCCATCGGGTTTGAGAGGGCGACGGTCACTGGGTCATTCTCGATTTGGGTGTGTAGGAACTTTTTGTCCTCGTCGTTGTGTTCCACGGCCCGAAAAATAAGCCGTTCGGAGCGATAGACGCCTTTCAGGTCGTCAGTGAGCATGGTGGTTGTTAAAGTGTGCTCGTGGTGGCGCAACAAATATGACTGTTTGAAACAATTGGTAATAAAGGGGACTACTCCGGGTACTGCTTAAAGTCTGAAACATCGATTCTTTGTGCAATGACTGAGCCGACCCATTACCCTTATGTCTACACGGTCCACGGCTGGGAGTGGATTCCCTTTGCGTTCAAAGAGTCCAAGTCATCCTATCACGGGCTACTAAGCTTACATGTACGTTCAAGCTGACGTCTAGCCCCAACAAAAGTTCCGTTAATGCATGAAGGGGGAGCCCCTCCTCCCATTAGCCCCATCCCCAAACGTCCTGAGAATATTTGAACATGACGCTAGGAGCTTATCTCGAGAGATTTCTGCGCGCTCATGGTCTTCCATTGTTGGAAATTGCACATTATCAACTTAACATACCAAGGACTCATGGGGCCTTGGGCAGTAACGCACAGAAAAGTCTCTATAGGTCAACTAAAGCCAGAGGACAATCCAGTGGAAAGTATTTAGGCAGATATTTACCGAGACTTCAGGTTGCCTGCCGGTTTGTCCCTGATTAACATTCGGCGATGTATCCTGCTGAGGTGTTGTCATGGGATGTGATTCAAGTGCCCAATACAGCTCAGTTGATTGATGTATGGCTGGAGTGCTTTTTTCTACCTCTGCCGAAATCACCGTTTACTAGGTCAACACATTCTACGGTTCCAATAGAGAACCGCGTTCTGGGGCGGGCACCCAAAGCGTCTTGATAGACTTGTCGGTCTAAACTTGGAAAGGAGTCCACATCCATGAGCAGCCCGACTTGTCGTTAACATAGCATGCGTGTTGAGGAGGGGGCTATTTGACGCATTGACTTCTAAGTTCTTTGAATTTTGCTAGAATTGGTTCGAATCATGAGCTTTCTCTAGTTTGTTTGGAGCTATTACCTCTTAACAGAGTATCAAGATCCTTATACCTACAATATTGGCAGAATGAAAGGAAGCACGTGTTAGGGGACAGGCGACATCTTTGGCGTGGCAGAATCAAAGACACAGCTGTTGTATCTGAAGCTAGGTTCCAGGACTGAAATGTTTCTTTTCTCAATTTAGAACGTGGAGTTCAGTCCTTTATTATCTTTCCCTTGTTGTGTCCTTTACACTCATCCAATACTAGACTTCGCTGATCCTCGCTGTCCACTAATCAATAGTAGAAGTTGAGAACTTGACACGTGCATTGCTAGGTTCTACACCCCACGGCAGCTGTCTGTGGAATGCTCACATATTTAAACCTGAAGAGGAATGAATTGATCCGTCGTGGTACGAGGCAACATCTAGGAAGCGATGAGAAGGAAGTTAAATAAGGTACGTTACCCTATCATTGGGTGGCGTCTAGCTCTCATGCCCTTCGGACATTAGGCCTATCTCCATATCGACATCCGACCTCCGAAATGTCCGGGACCAAGTTGTACATCTTCCTTCACAGGCCGTAAAGTTCTTCGCTCTTCGCGTTTATGTTTCTAGATGAAGAGCGCGAAGTATAGAAATGAGCGCGTCTTCCTATTTGGCGGGGTTTCTCGTCTTAGCGCGACAACAATGGACTTAAGAAACTCTCCGTCGTGCCTCTAATTACCCTCCGGATACGGCCGTTGGGAAAGGCCATAAGTAACCACAGGGTGACTCAGACATCACGATACGGCAGCTACCTTCGCTTCGCTGCATACCTTCCTATCAAAAAAACAAAACCATGACCGTCTCGCCAACCAAGATTTTGTTGAAGAATGGCGTGCTTCTTATCCATGGAGAGGATGGCAGAGTAAAACCTCAGCGGTCGGATATATTCATCGAGGGAGACACGATTTCACAAATCAGCCCAAATGTCAGGACAGCCGGCGAGGATGTCAAAGTGTTTGACTGCGAGGGCAAGATCGTGTCTCCAGGCTTTATAAGCACACATCATCATGTATGGCAAACCGCGCTGAAGGGTCGCCATGTCGACCACACTCTACTTGAGTACTTGCCGCGAGGAAACTTCATTGGGTCATTATTCTCTACCGAAGACGCATTTTGGGGTGAACTTGGTGGCGCACTTGAAGCTATAGATGGCGGGACCACGACCATTGTGGACCACTCCAGTCTGAATGTTGGCCCAGAATTCCGTAAGACCCCTGCTCGATATAATTATAGCCAGTAGTTGACGATGAAAAACCAGCCCCTACGTTGATTCAGGCGCTTATAGCCTCCGGGCTTCGTTCTGTCTACTGCTACTGCGTTCCCAGAACGACCAGCTGGAGCCCGTTCTCTACAGCAGATGACTATACATCTTCACATGTTCTCGAAGAATGGAAATCGCTAGCGACAAAGGGCCCATACGGAGACGGGCGAGTGCAAATTGGATTCGCAGTGGACAACTTGTATCAGTCGCCCGACCAAATGAAGTTTCTCTACTCGGAGCTTCGCGCTGCAAAGGCTAAGGTTATAACATCACACGGTGCTGGCGGTCTAGCTTTCGGCAATGGTCCTTCTGTTCTCCAGACCCTGAACAACCACAACCTGCTTGGCTCAGATATACTCATCTCTCACGCCAACTTCCCAAAGGATGGTGACGCAGAGCTTGTCAAGAAGCACAACGTCTGCATCTCTGCTACTCCCAATACAGAGCTTCAGATGGGATGGCCGCCAGTCGCCCTTCACCCAGAGTTTGAAGCAAACTCCAGCCTCGGGGTTGACTGCCACAGTTGTGGCAGCAGCTTCATGCCCAATCAGATGCGACTTGGCTTGCAGTATGCCCGACTCGAACGACAAGAGAATCTTCGGAGACAGGGCAAGTGGAGCCGGCATGTCGGTCCGTCAGCTGAGCAAGCCTTCAATCTCGCTACAATTGGCGGCGCAAAGGCGATTGGCATGGAGGGTGAGGTTGGCCAGATCCGCGTTGGAGCAAAGGCAGACCTAGTAGTCTTCAGCACCGACAGCCCCGCCATGCTTCCTGCTGCTGAAGAAGACCCCATTGCAGCGGTGGTTCTGCATTCGAGTGAGAGAGACGTGGAAACTGTCATCGTTGGAGGCGTCATTCGGAAGGAGAATGGAAAGTTGCTACCTGTGTCATTTACCGGTCAAGTTGAGGGGGCGAGTGACCTCGGTCTTCACGGGAAAAGCATTACGTGGAAGGATGTTGCGGTGAATTTGATTCAGAGCCGGAGTAGATTGAACAAGAAGGCAGAAGGCATCAACATGACGGTGGTGGAAGAGACGATTATGGACAATTTCTACATGAACCGGAAGGATATGCTTGAGCAGTCATGAGTATGTTTAGTGCATACAGTTGACGATCCGCAGCTACTTAGTTATTCTACGGTCAAGGATTCAGTATCTGGCCAACTCTGACTTTCAGTTTTCCGTTCACCCAAAATGAAGCACGGAATGTCTACTCCGCCTTAGAGGAGTCAATAATACAGTTGGGCGCGCTGAGTAATCCGAGTGACTTTGAGCATGTCGCGAATCATGATGGACCCATACTTAAGGTAGCTGATAGAGGTGTTCAAGACCACCACCAGCCATCGACGTAACGCGGCAACTCGAACATCATCGTGAGTGAGGTCGACTTCTGGATATTCGGCTCCCGGCTCAGGCATGACTTGAACCATGGAGCAGTACATCGTGACGGAGTTAGTTGCCACCACACGGAGTTATCACGCAAGATGCGGGGGAGCTGTCAGCCAACCCCACTTCGGCCGATCTCCGCCATATCTAAGAGCGCCCGTGTCTGTGCCGGTTGCCTTCGATGCCGAGTTATCTTGATGGAGGTATTTGCTTGCGTCTAGAGGCGGAGAAGGCCATTTCATTCATCTTGTTTTCGGTGCAGCTCAGATTGAGTTCTGCCACTAAATATCAGATCAAAGACCTCGCATGATGCCCTCGGTTTCACTTGCCATGGAATATCAACATAGCGGAGACTTGATGGCGTGATTATAACTACCGCACCCGCCGCCAGTCTGAAGCAGAAACCTCCTCATCTTTAATCTTCCAGCATCAACCTAAATCAACGAAATCCCACCAAAAAAACCTCCAATATGCCAGAGTCAAAAGTCATTCCGGCCTCGGCCACGCCAGTAGCAAAGCCAACGGCTACTTTCACCGGTGATGTCTACATGGAACTCATCAACCGCGACGAAACCGCCGTCATCGCAAACGTCACCTTTACCCCATGCGCTCGGACGCATTGGCACACCCACGTCGGAGGACAGATGATTAGAGTGCTGGCCGGTAGCGGATGGGTCTGCGACAAGGGCGGCGAGGCGAAGCGAATCAACGCTGGAGACACTGTTTGGGCTCCTCCCGGCACGACTCACTGGCACGGCGCCGATGATGGAAGTATTATGACGCACTTTGTTGTTGGTATTGGAGAAACGAAGTGGCATGAGGCTGTCACCGATGAGGATTACAAGAATCGGTCGCAATGAGTTCAGCATTTGTAAGTTCCGAAAGGCTTCATTTTGAAAGGTCTCTGGAGAGTTTCTGACAGCTGGATATCTAGGGCGACGCTTGTATCTAAAACACACAGATAGGGCCCATTCTCACCAGCATCCTACGTGTAGCTTCTCAAAACAACTCATCTACTAAGCTTCGCCTATCCTCGTCTCTCGTATTTTCCAGTAACTTGAATCTGCGGTGTCTGGAAAACATCCCAGTTATCAGCAGCCACAGGGTTCCCGAAAGGTTTCAGGGTAGCGAATCGCATGCTATTTGGAAATTTTGTTAGCCAACCCTCGGCAAAGATAAAAGGGTTCATCATGACTTACGTGTAGTTTCCGAGCTCAATCTGGCTTCCGTTGCCAAGTTTTCCGAACCACCAGAACTCATGGTACGACGCCTGGGTCTGAGCATTGCGGTACAGGTCAACCTGAGGGTAGGTCCAGGTGTCATCTGGGTCATAACGACTGGGGTCAAAGTATGACACGCTGCCAGCTACAACGTGGCTGGTGGCTGGGCCAATGTAGCCGTTCTGACCGGGGACGGGCGGATATT